ACATATTTTAAAATGATTTGTAACTTTATAAACCATATTATATACAGCTATTTCTATTGTGATTGTTTATTTTAGTATTTCTAAACATTTTAACAATCATTTTTTGAGTTAACTAATCTTTTAATAATTAATTCATTTGCATAAAAGTTTATACAAACATATATTTTACAAACGTATCATTTATTTATTTATTTATTTTATTGCATTAATTTATCTTTTAATTAAAGTTTATCCTTCTGTTTTGCAGATTTAATCAAACGACGAAAGTTTTTGAATAGAAAAATAAATATAAAAATGCTTTTTTGAGAGTTTGAAATTAGAAAAGCAAATAAATATTAACAAATTATTATAATTATATTTTGTTTTGCAAATAAATGTGCAAATTAATGAGTGAAACAATTCTAATTAAAAGCTAATTACTTCATCAAAGCTTATTTTATCCAAAACATATTGCTACCATTTTAATTAACAAAAAATATTTGTTTTATAATAACTGAAAATGATAAATAAATTTAACAAATTATATTAAAATTTATAATTTGAATTACTCAAACATTATTATTTCCATCAAAGTAATAAAAATTATCCAATTTTTGTCTTTTTTTTTCTTCAATTTTAATACATATTGGATGAGTTATTAGCATTCGTTTCAAACATTTTAATTAATTTGAAATTATTTAAACTTTATTAATCATACATAAACAGAAACATTTATTAGACTTTTGTTCTAATTGCTAAAAAAATTCCAGTCTTTCATTAATTAAAATTTCAATTCACTTTGAGAGCTAATAAAATGTGAATACTCCAATTTGGACATCTGGCAGTTAAATGAATTTCAGGTCATTTCAGGTCTTTACTTTTACTTTACATTTTACTTTCAGAGTTACGTTATTTTGCCTTTTAATCATTGTGTTTAACTTAAATTTCGTTTCACTTTGCATTTTGCTTTTAGCATTAAATGAATTTACTGTTTAATATTGTGTTTGTAGGGCTAAGTTGGATTAATTTGAAAGGACTATCGATTGATCAGTTCATTCGATCAGTTTAAATGAATTGATCAATCGATCAGATTTGATAAATAAATCTTTTACAGTCGGATTTTAAAGCGAATTGAAAAAGAGTTGTTTGTTGGCATTTATTGAAAATTTTCCATTCTTTTTCATCTCATTAAAAAATTGAATTGTATGTATGTGTGTATGTATGTGTGTATGTGTGTGCATGTGTGTATGTGTGCATGTGTGTATGTGTGTATGTGTGTATGTGTGTATGTGTGCATGTGTGTATGTGTGTATGTGTGCATGTGTGTATGTGTGTATGTGTTGTATGTGTGTATGTGTGTGCATGTGTGTATGTGTGCATGTGTGTATGTGTGTATGTGTGCATGTGTGTATGTGTGTTTTAAACATGTGAAAAACGAAGGAAGAAAGAAGGAAAAAGGGAATAAAAGAATAAAAAGAAAAGGAAAATGGGTAATTAGTGGTTATTAGGGAATTGAATGTGTTTTTGTGTGCGAGAGAGAGAGGAAAAGAAAAAAAGGAGAAGTTGGCCAAGGATTGATGACATGTCCTTGGCATGGAGACCGGTGGCCAGACCCTGGCAAAGTATAAAATGCAGGGAGTGGCCTTCAGGCTCTTTTTTCTCCTTGCTAGGCCTCTACCCACCAATTCTATTTCTTCTCGCAATGAAAATTCTTTTCAAATGAAAAATAATTTTCATAAAAAATTCCTTCCCAAAGGATACAGTTCTATGTATTCTCACCCTCTCCTTTTTATCTATCATCTCTATCTGTCGTACACACACACACCTCATCTATCTCAACTTCTTTTCCTCCGTCTCTCAATTTTAATGCTCTCTTCCTTTTTCTTTCTTTCTCTCTTAATAATATTAGCTTTCTAAATTTCGATTTAACAAAAAAAGAAGAAGCATCTCCGTTTTATTTACTGATTCTTTTTTCAATCTTTAATTTAATCTCAATTATTCCTTTCCTTTTTCTTTCTGTGCTCTATGTACTCTCTCTCTCTCTTTTTCTTTTTCTTTTCCTGTAGATAAACAATTTCAACGATATTTGTTAAAACTGATAAAATAACACTAACACTAATAGTGATAAATTCATGGAATAATTGCAATTTATTTGACATTTCATTCATTCATTTATGACTGAATCATTCTTATCAGTAAGTATTTGATTGAATCATTCTTATCAGTAAGTATTTGATTGAATCATTCTTATCAGTAAGCATTTCATTGAATCATTCTTATCAGTAAGCATTTCATTGAATCATTCTTATCAGTAAGTATTTGATTGAATCATTCTTATCAGTAAGTATTTGATTGAATCATTCTTGTCAGTAAGCATTTCATTGAATCATTCTTATCAGTAAGCATTTCATTGAATCATTCTTATCAGTAAGCATTTAAGATTATTGCAAGTGAATTAGGTGGCAATCAGTTTTATGCATACATTTGTTAATTGATAATCGAAATAGAAATCTTTGCCATAAATGGAATTTTAATTGATGGATTTTAATTATCGATGAAATTAATTATACATTTATAAATAGATTAAATTTTGAAAAATTTTCAAAAAAAAAAAAGCGCAGTTGTCGCTTGCACATTTTCTTTAGCTTTTTCTCTTCAATTTTTCTTATCAGCTTTCTTTCCTCTTCTTTGTTTAGAATTGGAAAATACTTTTTTTTTTCTTATTTCAACGTCAAACTTTTGAAAAGTTCGATTTATTTCATAGTTAAGGATGAAACAAATGTTTTTTGTTGAGATAAATAAATTCAAATTCATTAGTAATTTGACGTAAATAATACTTGTAATACTCGTAAAACAAAGATAAGAGAGAGTCACGCACGTGTGACGTACTCTTAAAAGTAATGTAAAACAATCAAATTGGATTTGTTTACATGGAAGGAATATAAATAAATAAGATTTAGTATGATTGATCAGTTTGATGTCAAGATAATACCATTTGTAAGTCATAAATATATGAGAGATTAAATTTTAGTTTTGCTCTCAATTTCTTTCCTTCTTTTATTCGATAGAAATTTCTTTTCTCTGCAACCATTTCCATTAATTTTGTTTGAAATAAAAAAAAAAGATGGAAAGTTTTGGAGCTAATTATTTGCTAAAGTCTCGAAGAGAGGAAAAAAAGGATAAAAAGATTGGAGAATTAACAATAAAAGTTTTATTTGTTATTCATTGTTAAGTGAATGAAGTGCTTCTCAAATTTGCTATTTACAAACTTATTCATATCGCTTAATTGTTTATAGTCTCTCTCTCTCTCTTTCTCTCTCTCTCTCTCTCTCTCCTTAAATTAGTAAAATTCTCAATAATAGACATTAAAAGATTGCTATAAAATATTCACTTCCATTTTTTCTTTTACAAAATTTGAATTTGTTTGTTTGTTTGTTTTTTTTTAATTTCGAACTATTTTTTTTCTTTTGATTATTTTAAAACAAAAAGAAAAAACCTTTTTTTACACATAAAAATTATGTTTTGTACATCTAAATTCAATAAGTGAAATAAATAATTAGTTGAGAAAAGTAAATTTTGTTAATTATTACTTTAGTTAAAATGGCTAATTTCAGTATTCAAAAGATGACAGAGTGACAAATCAATTCTAATGTGATTTTGTCATCAAACATTCGTTTTCATTCTCGAACAACTTTTCCGCTCATTTTGCTACTTTTAGAAGAATTTTGATTTTCTGAAATTTTCATTTCAACGTTTTCTTTTCTCAATAAAATGATTTAAAAAAAAAAAAAGCTAATATTTTGAATATTGAAACTTTTTCATTTCTGTTTTCATTCAATTATTTTTATTAAATAATTGTAAAATAAATGGAAGCAATTTTTTCATTTTTATTTTCTTTTTATGTTCGTTTTTTTTTTTATTTCCAATTAATCAATTAATTAAATATTTTCTATCATATAAGGATAGAAATAAAAATTAAAAAGGAAAACAATTTGACAGCTAATTTGATCTAATTTTTAAGTGCGTAATAATTTCAGTTTCGTTATGCGATATTTACTAGCACATAATTATTTTTTAAGCAATAACATAAATCTAATTTACTAATAAATTAAATTTGTATTTGCAAAATTTATTTTCCTTTTTCAAATTTAATTGTTGCAAAAAAAAAAGAAATTTAAATGAAATGATTAAACCAAAAAGAAAAAAATGTGATCAAATTGATCAAATGCTACAAATTTAATTGTTGAAAATTTTCTTTAGAAAAGTTTTCATTTGTTTACAGTAATTTAATTTCCGACAATATTTTTAGCTAAATTTTTTTTTAAAAAAAATAATTCCATTTAAAAAAGATTTGAATACAACAAAATGAGAAGCAAGAAAATAAGTGAAAATAAAATATGGATAAAGTTGAATTTACAAAAAAAAAAGAAACAAAAAAATTACACAGTTTCATTCCATTTTAATTAATAATTAATTATACAAATAATATAAATGCAAAAAATTTAATTAATATATTCAAAGTTTTCTTAAGTATACTTGGCAGATTATAAATACATTTTGTGTTTTATCAGTGAGAAATAAAAATTATTACTTAATGGCATTTTAAATTTTAAAATGGAAATATATACAGAAGTGTATAATATTGAGCTGTGCAATTATCGATTTCCAAAATTGTTCCACAAATTAAATTTTTTTTTATTTCATAAAATTTACATCATTCTGTGTATTTTATAAATATTTTGATAATTTTGAAAATGATTTGATCATAACATACAATTAATAGTGTCCTAATTGGATGACAGTTTAATAGGAAATGATTAATTGAAAAGAAAAGTTTAATAAGCTGGCAGCATTTTATTCTCTGCGATGGTACAACATTGAATAAAACTACACAAAATACTAATTCAGGAAAGTAATTCCGGAAGAAATCCAAATCGATGAACATTCAATTCAAAAAGTATCGTTTAGTTGAAAGTCGTTAGACGATGAAAATTTTGATTTAATGGATTTTACGGCGGAGAATGTACTACCAATCGAATGTATCAAATATTTCGAAGTGCGACAAAAGCAATCATTTGGCTCATTTTGTATTTTTAATTAGTACTGCAAGCGCAATCATCCAAACCTTATGGTAAGTGCCACATTTTTTAGATTTTTTTTAAGTAGCAAAATTAATTTAAATTCTATTTGCAATTTGGCAACAAATGCTTTTCAGCTTTTTATTTCTTAGCGATTTTTAGTATTTAAATATTTGCACAAATAATATTGGAAAATATCAAAATATGAAATAATTTATTACAACAAATGCTTTATCAGCTTTTTATTTCTTATCAGTGAGTTCGTGAGTTCTTTCAGTGAGTTCTTCCTTTATCAGTGAGTATCAGTGAGTTCTTCCTTTATCAGTGAGTTCTTCCTTTATCAGTGAGTTCTTCCTTTATCAGTGAGTATTGAGAAAGTATCAAATCATAGTGAGTTCTTCCTTTATCAGTGAGTTCTTCCTTTATCAGTGAGTTCTTCCTTTATCAGTAGTTCTTCCTTTATCAGTTAATGAGTTCTTCCTTTATCAGTGAGTTCATCAGTTTCATCAGTGAGTATCAAGTTCTTCCTTTATCAGTGAGTTCTTCCTTTATCAGTGAGTTCTTCCTTTATCAGTGAGTTCTTCCTTTATCAGTGAGTTCTTCCTTTATCAGTGAGTTCTTCCTTTATCAGTGAGTTCTGTAAGTGAGTTCTTTTATCAGAGTTCTTCCTTTATCAGCTGTGAGTTCCTTTTTATCAGTGAGTTCTTCCTTTATCAGTGAGTTCTTTCAGTGAGTTCTTCCTTTATCAGTGAGTTCTTCCTTTATCAGTGAGTTCTTCCTTTATCAGTGAGTTCTTCCTTTATCAGTGAGTTCTTCCTTTATCAGTGAGTTCTTCCTTTATCAGTGAGTTCTTCCTTTATCAGTGAGTTCTTCCTTTATCAGTGAAGTGAGTTCCATCAGTGAGTTCTTCAAGTGAGTTCCCCTTTATCAGTGAGTTCTCCCTTTATCAGTGAGTTTATTTATCAGTGAGTTCTTATCAGTTGGCATATTAAAGCATTGATTATTTGCTCAGTTAAATAATTTTTTTTTTAATAGAATTGAAAATCAATTTGAAATGCAAATATCCACGCATTGTCCATTTTTTCCAGCAAACTGTAAAATATCGTTGATAATTTTCTTATTTTTTAAAAATTAAAATATTACATTATTATACAAATGCAAATTCACTTTTTTGAAATTTAATTTTAACGCAACGAAATTTAATTTTAGCGCAGAAAGATTATTATCAATTACACCGTGTGCCTATCCGTTACTGTCGGATACAATTCATTGTGGCATCGATGATGCAAATTTAAGGAAAAGTGTTCGAGTATGTGACCCTGATAAGGTGATTAGCATGTCAGAAAGTGAGTAGCTTCTGAATTATGGAAATAATTTTTGTATTTGTTAAAGAATCTTTGATTTAATTGATTAATTGATCAAATTGATTTCTTTGTAAATCATCTAAACTTAAATTTTTTTTTTTAAATTTATAGTAGAAGTTATCAAAAACAAACTCGATAGTATATACAATCGTAAAAACAAATCTTGTATTTGTGCATCTGATCAGGTATGTTTTATTTATTCAATTTAAACCAAATTTGTTTATTTGTTTATTTTTAACTGCTAAATGGTATTCGGTAAGCAATAAGTAAACAATTTATTGAATATTTATATTTTAATAATAAATGAAGCAATGAATTGAATAATCGAAAATGATCAGTGACTCTTCTTGCAGCATTTTTACAAAATTATTACTTTGTTTTTGATATAAATTATAAAATGCCTGAATAACTTAAAATGTATACTTCAAAAGGAATTAAAATATATTGAAAAATTGAATGATAAAATATGAAAGAGACAAGTAATTGATAGGAAAAGCCATGTTGGTTCCGATTTGGCTTTGCATTTTTAAGGCGAATGTTTCCAGTGGAATCTGGTGTTTCACACCTGTACAGGTATTTCAAATTATGTTTAAATGTCTTTTGGAGTTTTTCTTCATTCAATAATTCTTTCTTTTTTTTTTAAATTGGCCATTGCCATTGTGAATTTTTATTTTTTTACAAATACATTTGGGACAATTATTTATGTTAGAATGACAAATAATTAAGAATTTTGTTTGGAAGTTTTGTATAATATATTTAAATAATAATTTAGAAATTGAAATAAATTTGGATGAAATTTGTTAGCTAAAGAAAATAAATTGTTTTGCTTCTTTCTTCCTTAAATTCTTCCCATCGTTATTTTTCATCACTTTTTTCAAATTAACATATTTGCAGTCGTGAATTTTGTCCAACCAATAAAACATTGTTGAGTTACAAGAAAACTTATACATTAATGGATTCGACAAGGTTCTAAACATTAAATTTATTTCCAATTAATTCAAATTTCATTCCAGTTATTTATTCCTCTCAAATATTCTAAATAATAATATCACTGAACAGAGACAAATGAAATTGAAAACTTTTAGATTGATTTACTTTTCTATATTTAATTTCTAAAATTCAAAAGACATTTCAACGATTAAAAATATTTAACTATGATAATAGTAGCAAGCAAAGAAACTATTTCGAAAATAAAAATGAAAAAAAAAAGAAGAAAAATTAAATTTTGTAAGTTGAAAAAATGTAATCTAAACATTTTCAATTAAACAAAAAATTTGATAAAGAATTTCTTCAAAAAATAAAAAAAAAAGCTTAAAAGAATTTTTTTTTTTGCTGTTTCTCTTTTATTTTTATAAACAAAATTTTTTGAAATTTGTTTTAAAAAAAAATCTAATTTTTTTTTTTTTTAGAGAATCGATAATAAATTACGGTAAAAATTTTGCACGTTTATTACGTGAACGTTGGTTAATGGGTGAATGTGACGAGGACATTCTGTTTTTTATCTTACTTAAAAGGCCGAATCAGGTGAATAATAAGTAATTCCTTTTGATCGTTGAATATTTTGTAAACATTCCTTCAAGTAAGTTCTAAGTTCCATCTTAAATAATCATTTTGCAGCTTATGCGTAGGAGCACATTATCGTATTTAGCATCCGGAACAGCACAGCAAACACCGGTGAGTTTCCGGAAAACGACTTTAAGAATGGATATATCTATCTGTTGTACAAGTTTTCGACAAAATGTAAGCAATTTGTAAGTAAAATTTGAAAAACGAGAAATTCTCATATGATATAGGAAAAATGAAAATATTATTGTTCGTGCTGTCATATTTTTTGTAGTATATTTTTGCATCATACGGTTCATTGGTTCGAGAAAAGATTGACCCCTTCCATTCACTGCCAAATAATGACCTCTCGATGAATCAACAACAACGACAACATTACTTCGATCCATTGCAAGAAATTATTGAAGCTGAAAATATAAATTTTGAAAATGGCTATTCCTTGAAAGTGGTAAATATCTCTTCACTCTTTTAAATTTTTTTAATCATATAATATTGTCAATATTAAAATTTAAAGAAAAAACAAAAAGATAAAAATAAAAGAATTTGAAAAGATTGATGATTCATGCAAAGGACATTAATTATATTTATTTTTTACTTCAATATTTTCTGGTTTAATGATTACTTTTCTCAATAAATTTCACTTTTCACCTTGTGAAAACGAAACTAAAGCATAAAGCACTTAGAAAGATGGAGAAAATTGAATAGAAAATTACTAATAGTAATACTTTTAAATTATTTCATAAAGAAATACTATAGAAAGAAAAATATCTTTTGATATGAACTTTTCAAAAAATTTGAATTTTAAATTGATAGGTGACAGAAAACCTGTTGGATCGATTTGAGGCAACGCTCTCTCAAGAATATACGTTGCCACGTGCTCGAAGTCATATACCGGACTGGGCAATGATTGTATTTATCATATGTGCCTTGCTTTGTCTACTGATGACAGTCGGGTAAGACCCTAACATAACCTTACTTACTTACTTACTCTGATAGCCTTGCTTACTTACTCTGACAGGCGGTAATTTCTCTTACTTACTTACTTACTCTGATAGCCTTGCTGACTTACTCTGACAGGCGGTAATTTCACGCGAATTAAAGATATCAATTAACCCTTAAGCGGAAGCTTTTCAATGAGTTTTGGCTTCTACATACAATGGACTATTACATATTGAAAACATTTTTGACTTTATACTACTATAGCATAGCATATCCTTGGTTTCTTAGCTATGTTAGCAGATTCACCGTTTGTTAGCTCTGATTGTAAGCTTTCGATAGCTAATTTTATTAAATAAGTAATTAATTAAGCAGTGATAACAGAAAGTTTATCGTAAACATTTCCTCAGCTTTATTCATAATAAGTTTGAATTCTGTGCAGCAATGGGAAAAAAAACCGGAAAATTTTAGTTTATGTTTGATGCAAACGTCAGTGCGACGCGGATCACCGCGCGGTAAGCCGGCTGATACGACGAGGAGATGGAAGGCCGGATTCGTTGGCGGTATGTGGTATGATGTGTACAGAGATAGGCTTATCATCTTGTAGTAACACTCAGCAGCCAGACACTGATAAGCTAATCACTGATCTATGATGCATTTTGTTGTTATGTAGTAAAAAGGAGTGGGTATGGTTTTCTAGGGAAAGTAGTTATCGTATGCATATTTTAACTTTTCCGTTCTTTTTTTTTTCTAATTTTTTTGGTTAAGCATTTTCAATTCTATCATTCTGTTATGTGATATGTGATAAGCTAACTTGATAAAATAGTAATCAAGTAATATGATAGGTAAAAGTATGATAGGATAAAGAAGCTATGTTAGAAGAAATTTTTTTAAATTTAATCTTAACGGATTTGATTAATTAGCATGGCTCGATGATAGTTTCGTTTGTTAATTAGTTCAATAGAAGCATGAATTTTGCTTTTCTCTTTTGACTATCACAAGAAAATATTGAAAATACCAAATGAAAAATATTTTCGCTGCGGTATTTTCAATATGATTGCATTGTAATAACTTTCCTTTTCTTTCCTTTTCTTTCGTTTTCTTTCATTTCTAATGGAATATTTTCCTATTTAATTACTATCATTTTTTTTTTCAATGTAAACAATTAACTTTCATTCTATTTCTAATCAATCAATCAATCAGTCAATCGATCAATGAATCAATCAATCAATCAGTTTTTGTTGCTCATTAAAGCATTTGAACTAATCGTTGGTTGACTTTCGCTTTGTTCGTTTTTTTTCAATTATTAATTTCATTGAAGGAAAAAACAAATATATTATCATTTATTTGTGTCATATCATCATTTCCTGCTATCATTTAGATTAAATGTACCAATAGGTTTCTTATTACAATTATCATTGGAAAAGAAAAATTTTTATTTAAAAAAAAAGACAAAAAAACTAATTGTTTGAATTTTTTGTTTGAAAATAAAACCTTTAACAAAAAAAAAGCAAAAAATTTAAGCTATCTTTTCTTCTTCTGTGATATTTTTTCTCTTTTTATTTTCATTCTGTTTCATCTACCTAAAAAATTTATTAAATTTTTCTTTTTTTTTTTTTTTATTAAATATAAGTAATTTCATTTCTCGTCATTTTTTTTTAACTTTATATTAATGTGAATTTTGTATTTTTAGTTATTTAACTTTCTGTCATTTTAATGAAAAATTACAATTAACTCTTCTACCATTTCAATACTAACAATTTTTATTATCACTTTTCTTCAGGAATTATTATTCATTTTGCTTTGCACTTTCTGCGATTTATTGACAAAATACAAAAGTAATTTGCAATTTGAGGTCCTTTTTTAATCTTTTTTTTCCTTTACGTTACAAATAGTATGCAAAAATGAGTTAATGCACACAGCAAAATTTTATTTCATTTCCAAACATAGTGATAATGATAATGATAATGATAATGACAGTGATAGTGACAGTGACAATGACAATGATAATGACAATGACAATGACAGTGATAGTGACAATGACAATGATAATGACAATGACAATAACAATGACAGCGACAGTGACAGTGACAATGACAGTGATAGTGACAGTGACAATGATAATGATAATGACAATGACAATGACAGTGATAGTGACAGTGACAATGACAATGATAATGATAATGACAATGACAGTGATAGTGACAGTGACAATGGCAATGATAATGATAATGACAATGACAATGACAGTGATAGTGACAGTGACAATGACAGTGATAGTGACAGTGACAATGACAGTGATAGTGACAGTGACAATGACAATGACAATGACAATGACAATGACAATGACAATGACAGTGATAGTGACAGTGACAATGACAGTGATAGTGACAGTGACAATGACAGTGATAGTGACAATGATAATGACAATGACAATGACAATGACAGTGTCAGTGACATTTTCAAAGAATTAATTTCAAATCTATAATAACAATTAGGGATGGAAACAATAGGCCATTGTTTACTTTCAATATTCGTAACATAACTTCCAATAATGAAATCCTGTGGAATTTCAAAAAACTTCTTTTCAATAAAGCAGGTAGTGCAAAAAGTACATAAAACAAATTTGGGGATAGTTTCCACTGTGAAAAATTCGATCAGATTTATTAATTTTTACAAATTACAATTTTATTTCGAATTTTAGTCAATTTGAGATTTGATAAGAAGGAAAAATAATAAACCAATCTAGCATATTATTTATGATTTTTAATTTTTATTTTATTTACTTTTTTTTTTTTTTGGATATCAAATTGCAACAATTTTCTCTGTTCGTCGAGAATAATTGTGAAATGAAAAATGAAATGAACAGAAATTGGCATAAATTTTCTGTCCGTAAAATTAATCATTCCGGAAAGTAACAGTAAGTATTGGCCAAAAAAAAAGAGAGTTGTTGTTAGTTTATGGAAATGTTGCAGAAAATATGGAAGGAATACCGACGGGTGGTGTAAATTTGATGCAAATGATGATTCAGCCATCACTTCGCTACAACAGCAATACAACCGGCAATTATAATTAACTTTTTTTTTTCTTTCTTTCTTCTCTTTTTTTCATTTTTTTTTTTTTTTTTTGCATTTACACATATTTTATTCGATCAAAAATTTCCCTCAATGAACTATGAACTTTATTCGAGAAAAAATTAATTATTATTATTATTATTATAGTATGAAAGCAAGAAAGCTTATCAAGATAAAAAACGTTGCATTTATATTGTAGAAATTCATTTATAAAACATTCATAATTTTTAATATTAATGAATATAATAATATAAGATACGAATTATTGATTGGCTCTGTCAAAATTTTAAACAAAAAAATTTAGTGAAATGAATGAGATAAACTAAATGGCACAAAAAAAATGATAAAGATTAAGCATTAATTGAGCAGAATATGAGATAATGGGTGATAATTAGATGAAAGAAAGAAAAGTTTCGCTTATTTTTGATTTCCAATTTAAATAATATTTTTTGATTTCATTTTCATTTTCATTCTTAAATTGAATACTCATATATTATCCTTCACAGTTTCTTGCATTCTATTATCATTGCTACCTATTAAACTTTTAAACTTTAAAATTTTCCAAATACTTACTTTTCTTTTAAATACTTTTTTCTTTTTGAAATTTAATATTTTGGAGGTATAATGTTAACAGGTGGTCTTTTAATTTCTCTTATTTTTTTCTTTTTCTTCTTTTTTTTTTTTTTTTTTTTTGGAATTAAAAGGCACATATTATTGTCACAGGTTCAGACCTATTTAAAATTATAAATTATTTTTGCAATCATTCTCACATACTGTTTTAATAGACATTTTTCTCTCTTTCAATTCGAATGAACTTGAAGAATCGTAGTAAGTTGTATTGTCAGATTAATTAATTCAAACTTCTCAAATATATGAAAGTAATATCAATGGCTTAATAAGTAGACAATGTCTTAACAAACTGTTTACATTATACAAATAAAAAATGAATTTCTCCCAGTAATTTTGATATATTTTAAAATAAGTTTTGTAGTATTATCAAAAATGAAATGAAAATAATAAGTGAATTAACTTTCTTCTTTTCAGCTTTCAAATATTTTGCATTATAAAAATTACCTTTGTTCAATTTCAAGCAAATCATTTTCACTATTTGATTATTTTTATCATTTTAATCGAAATTTGATAGTATATAGCTGTCGTATCTTCCGTTGCTTAGCCGTTAAATCAATTTCAACGATTTAAAGCAAAATTCAAATAAATTGAAATCAAATTTATCGATAGAAATTTTCACCTTTTAGGCATAAATCATCGCTATCAATTGGTCTGAGCAAACGAATTAATAATGAAAATTGAAAGCGTGAAATATTTTGAGGTTAGCATAAAATCAATTAATTAAACATTGAAACGTCAAATATTTTGAGATTAGAACAACGGCAAAACTGTCTTCCGATAATTGAATGCGATAACTAATTGCACTTACGTGAGAGTACTTGACGTTTTTACGCTTAAATATTAGCAAATTAGTTGAATTAAAAGCTACAAATAATTTTCTTGGCAGCAATTTCATTTGATTCCATTGTATTCCATTCATGTTTGTGGCTAATAATTTCCATTTCACATTTATTTTTTAAATTTTTTCTTTTTTCGTTTTCCCCTCTTTTTTTATTTTTTGTTTGTTTTTGTTATTAAATATAAAGAAATGAAAAGCATGGCAATTCATAGATAAAAACACATGCATGCACACATGCATTTTACTTCTGCAGTTATCATTTTTGCACTTCACATTTGTACTTGTGAAAAACTTTTGAAATTTTATAATAAAAGTAGCTATTAAAGTAAATTGTTTAGAAATTTACGCTTTGTAAACAATGAAATGTGTCCATTCATTTAAATTACTGATTTTAAGAAAATTTTATTATCATAATTCAAAATTTTCTAATTTTAATTACTACATTAATTTTTTTTTTTCAATGACATAATGATTGAATTACTGATAAACTGACTAATTGATTGAATGTGACAAGAAATGCAGTAGCACAAATTGAAGGATAGACAGTTATATTATATTTTATTGAAACTTGAATTAAAATTTTAATTTTAACTTAAATGATTTTTTCATTGCTCTTTCAGTTAAACTTTAAATAATTTTGTTTTCTTTTTTTCCATTTTCCTTTTTATCACTTTAATCCTAACTGTGTCACTATTTAAGCTTTAATGGACCAAGGAAGTATATGGCGACCAGATGGTAAGTTTCAAATGAATTTTATGTGAGTAAATGGTAGATAATTATACATTCTTTATTAATTACAAATAATTAGTTTTTCATGGGAAATTCATATTGATAAGAAAAGCATAAAATGTTAGAAACGTTATCAGTGCATGATATGTTATCAGTGGTTAGTGGTTAGTAGTAATACCCTATGCAATCATTTTAGTAACTTTTTTTTTGTTTACTTTGCTTTTATTGTGTAACGTTTTATTGATTTTTCATTCATTTCTTATACTTATATTAGGTATTTTAGTCTATTAGTCATATTCCAATTAAATAATTAAATTCTTTCAGTTTCTGGACAATCACGCGCAGAAATATAATTTCAGACTATTATTTACTGCCATCCTTTGAGAATCTAACATATTTATGTACACATTTTGTTGTTTACTTGTTATCATATTAGTAAATTTGCTTTCTTTTTTGATAATAAATAAAAAAAGTTTCATGAAAAAAAAAAGGAAAAGAAAAGCGAAATGAGAAAAATTCTCATTCAAAGGTCACACCGAGTTAATTTACACTCTGTCATAACTGAAAAGAAAAAGTTAGGAAGTATTACTTTCATCAAATGTTAATTAAAAATATAAATTATCTAAAGTATTCATCTCTCTCTCTCTCTCTCTCTCTCTCTCTCTCTCTCTCTCTCTAGTTGCATCAGAATCCTTACAATATTTTAATTTGTAAATAATCACAGTTTGTAGTGCAATGATTGTTTATTTGAATATTGCATAGAGCAAAGTGAACGATTTTTCTTCATTTCATACTTTAATGAGTGATTGAACACTTATTTATGGCTAAGTGTGTGCATTGTTCACAATGGCACAATGTGTTCAATCCAATTTCTATTTGCTTATTTAATTTACCAATTCAATTTGCAATATGAAAATATCGTTTTGATCTTCCGATCTGATAGAATATTGAATATTGCCACTGCACAAGGAGCTAAACCGGTTGTCCTGATTGAACGTAACGACCCTCACGCAATTCACTTCAACGATAGTGACGTGCGTAATAGCGCAGCAGAAACGGTGACGGAGTGAAAGAACGATGTCTTAGAGGACTGCTGGTATTATTTAATTATCACTTTGTTCATTTGTTTCCCATTATTGTAAGTTGCCGTGTACGGTATTGAAATAAGCGTGATATTGGATAAGCGTGATATTAAAATAAGAGTGATATTGAAATAAGCGTGATATTTAATAAACGTGATATTGAAATAAGCGTGGCATTTAATAAACGTGATATCGAAATAAGCGTGGCATTTAATAAACGTGATATCGAAATAAGCGTGGCATTTAATAAACGTGATATTTAATAAACGTGATATTGAAATAAGCGTGGCATTTAATAAGCGTAATATTTAATAAAGTGATACTGAAATAGGCGTAATACTGTGATAATGAAATAAGTGTGATTATTCTACGATATCGTGAAAAAGAATAAAGCTATTGTCAACGTTGTGGAATTACTAAGCAGCACGAACAGTTATTTTGCATTAATTAAATTTTTAGTTTTAAAATTTATAATTCAATATTTTGGCATTTTCATCTGAAAAAAAGGAAATACTCGAAAAGATAAAGTTTTAAATTTTATGCTTTTACCAAAATGAAATCCAGAAGAAGGCATCGTAGTTGATTCAATGAAATTTTTATAATTAAATTTAAATATTTATTTGTATATATAAAATAATATGATAATACGAAGGCCGAACTGATTCAATTAATTTTTAAATTTTGATTAACAGAATACTAGAAAACTAGTAATCATCGATTTAATTATGCTAGCAAATTACTAAAAGTTAGAAATATGCACAAATATCAAAATGGAATTATTATTGGAAATTATTATATGTATGTAAATTAATACTGAATTATTATATAAATTATTATTGAAATTGCTGTTTTAACAACTGAAATAAATATTTGATAAAAATAATGTTTATTCTTATTGAAATGAATAAACTTTTCAACTTGTAAATACATTAATTTGCATTGCTTTTAGTTTTAAAATTTATAAAATATTTACATTTTCATCTGAAAAAAAGAAAAGAGAATTTTAAAAAAAAAAGAAATCAGAAGAAGGCATTAGTTGATTAATGAATTTTTATTTAAATTTATATATTTCGTGTATGATAAATAAATTAATTAGTGTTTAGTCGATTTTCCTATTTCGAAGCACAAAGAAATGAATTAGATGCAAATAAAAACATTGCAAAATCAATGTGGAATATTAGCAATATATAAATAGTAAATTATTAGAATTATTAGTAAAACTTACGTGATAAACTTACCTTAGAAAATTAATTTGCTAATCAGTTAATCAGTCAATTAATCAATTAATCAATCAGTTAATCAGTTAACTATTTATGATTCATTCATAACTGACTGTTCTGAGTTTAACCTTTGTAAAATCGATTGAATTTAAAAAAAAAGAAAAACAAAAACAGAATAATTCGATCATTGTGAGTGTTTTTTTATTCATTTCATTTCAATTCATTTCATTTCGTTTCCTTTCATTTCATTTCAATGAATTAGATTTCAATTCATTTCATTTCAATTTATTTCAATTCAATTCATTTCATTTCAATTCATGATCATTTCATTTCAATTCATTTCATTTCAGTTAATCAGTCATTTCAATTCATTTCATTTCCTTTCATTTCATTTCATTTCCTTTCAGTCGAATTCATTTCATTTCATTTCATTTCGATTCATTTCATTTCCTTTCATCTCATTTCATCTCATTTCGATTCATTTCATTTCATTTCATTTCAATTCATTTCATTTCATTTCATTTCATTTCATTTCATTTCATTTCATTTCATTTCATTTCAATTCATTTCATTTCATTTCATTTCATTTCATTTCATTTCATTTCATTTCCTTTCAATTCATTTCATTTCATTTCAATTCATTTCATTTCAATCCATTCACACTGACAACTGCAAGTTGAATCTTTGCAGTATTTTCAAATCTCACTGTCTATGCTTTTGTGGTGCGATAGAAATTTGCATATATAAATTACACAAATACAAATTTGCATAGAATAATTTAATGAAAAGTGATGGGGCTTGAATATTGCCTTTGCAAAAGTTATATAAATGTGAAGCAGCAAAAATGAAACAATTCAAAAAGTATAGTAAATTTGATTTTGAGGATTTGATAATGTCAATGAGAGAAATATGGAATTTAGCTCTGTGAAAAGAAAAAAGTGAAGTGAGAGAGAAGAACAGAAAAGAGAGACACTGATTACTTACTATTTAATATCAGTTTTACTTACTTTTGCTAAATTAATTACTATTCTTACAGAATGGACAGAACTAATTAATTTATCGTTAAATAGCACAGAAAATGAAATAAGTGCCATTTCAATATGCCATTAAATTCAAAATAGAAATATTTGAGATCACAGTGGTTCAGCATATTAGCATATTAATTCGTGTGACAGTGATAAGTTGGAAAGCTTTCATCTCATCACTTCACTGTCAAATCAGAAACATTCTAATTAATTAATTAATTAATTAATTTTAGCTATCATAAATTAATGGTGCATTGTTGCCAAAAAGTGTTGCAGAGAAACAGTTTAGAAGGAACAGTTCGGTGTACGATATTACTTCGAAAATAAAAATTTTTCAAACATTCTAAAAATGCAAATGAAAAAGCACAAAAAAAAAAAAAAAGAATAAACAATAAATTTGTTAAAATGAAATGAAAAAGGCAAATGATAAAACCTTTTTAAAATTCAAATCGACAATGTATATAATTTCATTTCTTCTTTAAAATGACATTACATTAGCACATTAACAATGTCACAGATATTCTTCAATTGGGAAATTAAATTTTACTATGAAAAATTCCAATTTCATTTGTACATTAAATTTCTTTCATTTGAAAATACAATTGCTTTGGATAATTTAAATTTTGGAAAAAATCAATTAAATTCCCGGAAAAAAAAAGGAAATGAAATAATTCGAAATTTTAAAAAGTAAATCTAACAAATTTATGTGTCACTTTCAATAAAAAAGCTAAACATCGTCACTTTATCACAATATGTCTCATTTAATTTCACTCAATATCCAACAATAAGAGAACAAAATTGCTAATAAAAATCTAAAAAGAAAGAACTTAATCAAAGCACTGATAAATTTTTCACGTAAATTTTGACTTTCACGTGCGTCAGCTGTTGACTATCAGTTGATTACAGTTTATCAGCTGATTACATATATCATTGTTTACATCATTCGAATTTCATTTGCCATCTCGTACTTGTAGTAGTTACATGTATAACAGCATCTCTCTCGAATATCCGTCTTATCACAGCTGAAAAGTAATCAGAAATTTTTAAAAAAATTCACTTTTTACAAAAAAATAGAGAAATAATTCGTCAAATAATTCTAAAAATAAATTTTAAAATTTACATATTAGATTTGTTTTTTTTTTTTTTTTCACTAATAACAATCGAAATTTTTACTTTTCGTTCCTTTTTTTTCTTTTCTTCCAATTACATAAATCATAAAAAATATTTCAAAAATACTAATAGTTTTGACAAAATTTAACAACGCTTAAAGAATTTAAATAGTTATTTACATTCATTTCAAATTTAAATGAAATTGTGAGTTTGCTTGGAAATCGAATAACTGTCATTCAGCTATGAGTAAAAGTAGTGAAAACACCTTCTGAACTTTGTTCACTTCATAAATGCTATGTTAGAGCACTTTTACATTTTTCAACCTCTAAGTCAAATGAACTTTCTCACTTTGATAATTCGAGCGAATAGTAATCAAATTTAGCGATTTACTTTTTCATATTAAAATTAAGTAATAAATATATATTAGACTTAGATTACAGTCATCAGAGTCTCTTGAACAAAAAAAAGAGTAAAGTAAATAGACAAAGTTAAAAAATTTTAGTTTTTTAGAAAAAAAATATTTGTAATAAATTAAATTATCATTACTTTTTCGTCAACGACTTACGTTAGCTACGTTAATAAAATTATTATTACATTTTAACCGAAATTATTAGCATAAAAGTTGGAATAACTTACGAATGGAAAATTTTGAGAATCTCGCAATATCTTGATTTGTCGAGACAACTACTATCAGCCATCATAATTGAACTGTTGTCTAAAACTTTTTAATCTTTCGATCGTTCTCCTTTTTCCTTTTCTTTCTTTTGTTTAAAAATAACAATAAAAAAACAACATTGAAAGAGAAAAGTCTCATTAAACAACAGAATATTCGGCACAGTATCCCACATTATTTACCTTTTCACGGTTAGTAATACTAATTAACATTTTGTACCTTTGATTTTAGTTAATTGTTTTTTGCTTGGGTTAACATTTCAATATAATTAATACAGCAAATTCTTCACACTTTTAGAATTTTGTCAAAAGATTGCTCTAATTAATGAAATTGCTCGAGCGTAAGCAATTTTGGGATTAATTACTTCAGGCTCGGATGTGAATTAATGAGCCTGAATTTTGTGGCTATGAGATGATAAGAAAAAGGGATGATAGAATCGAGCAAAAAATGAACAGAATTGGTACAGAATATAACCATCGTTGCTTACTGTAAACAGACGTAATCAACGTGTAACACGTGATGCTGAAGTAACTCTGGAAAAGAGGCTAAAGTTATTTATGTTTCAGTGAGAATATAATGTCAAATGCACAACCATTATACCCTCATTTCGAAGATTTTTATTAATCCTTGTGAAAGTGTGAGAGATTATTCTGCTAAGTGTTAAGTATGCAATATTCACGGTTGAACTTCGGGTCACGTGCGTGACGAGCTGTATCAATCCAAATGTTTGCTTTAAGTCACTGATACTTCGTTTTGCACCATTTTTAACAAAGTGAAACACCGGATGCGTCGGCCGGGAATCGAACCCGGGCCGCCCGCGTGGCAGGCGAGCATTCTACCACTGAACCACCGACGCTCACAGCTCTGACTTTTAATTACTAAAATTTGTAATTTTATATTCATTTCAATTTAACAGTACGATTTTAGTGTATGAGCAAAGCAACAAAGGAATTACTGAGGGGAATGCATGGGTAAGCAGAGAGGTCGGTTAGTTTAATTGAAATTAATTAAATTGAAGTAATTAATTGTTAACATTTGTTCACTTCAATAGAATATTATGAAAGTAATATTAATCAGTAATAATTTGTTGAATTAATTACCATCAGATTCGATTATAATTACAATCTGTTTGTGTGCTAAGTAATTTTATATGCATTTGAAAAAAAAAAAAAGAAATGCTTTTTCACGCAAAAAAAAAAAGACAAAAGAAAAAGGAATTTGAAATTGTTAACAAAAGGAACGATACTAAAGCACAAGCAACTAACTGTACAGGTATTGCTTTTGGAATGCATAGTTTGTTGAATTTAATTGAAATAAGTGTGAAAAGAAAAAGTAAATATTACAAATTTAAATACAAAACATAAAAAGGAAAGAAAAAATATATTAGCTATTGAAAATGTTTATGAAAATAAACGAAGAAAAGTTTTTGGATAGATATTAGAAGACATAACTGATAGAATAAAATTAATCAAATCTACACTTTTGATCTGATGATACCCTCTTCTAGTCTATAACTTTTTTTGATATCGGTTAATTCCTATCAAATCTGTTAGTTCCAAGAAATTCATTACTTGGCTAAGTTTTACTTTTGATCTTCAAATGAGGCCAATTATGTATGATCATCCAAACTTCTCACATTACTATCAAACAATTAATTACTTAAAAAATTTAATTAAGAAGTAAAGAGAAACGAGGAAAAAAGAAAGATGAAATAAGCAATAATAATAATAATAGTACGAAATACATAACAAATAGTAATGTAATTGATAATTTTATGAAAATTACTGAAACTAAATTTAAAAAAACACTGCTAAAAGGGAAAACATCAGACATTTGTGATCGGTAAAATCATTTTAGCAAAGAAAAAAGTGTGAATGTGTGTGTGTACCCTTTAAAGTGGGTAAGTTAGCCATGCCCATGCGAATTAGCAATTTGAATGCTAAGAAATTAGCGAAATTATAAAGTACGGAAATAGTTTTTCATTCTTAAGAAAGCAATCGATTTTTGTATTTGCAATGAAATAAACAAAATTACTGTTTAAAAATAAAATTATTGTTGTAAGAGTATTAGTTGGCTAATCGATAAAGCAATGCTAACATTTGAGTGTATTAGTATATTTGAATAATTAGAATTAGTAGCAAATAAAAGGTCAAACTACTTCGAATAAAGATTAAATCAATTTTGACCTAACCTAAAATTTATATTTGATGGATGGAATTTGTATGGATGATAGTGATGCAAAATAAATGATATCCAATTGCATTTTGCTATCCGTAGTAATATTTTATAATGAAACAGAAAAAGAAAAGTGAAAAGTAAGAACAAAACTGATAGGCTTGAAAAAGTAAAAGTGATAAGCTTTAGAATGTGAAAGTGATAAGCTTTAGAATGTGAAAGCGATAAGCTTGAAAAAATAAAAGTGATAAGCTTAAAAAACTAAAAGTGATAAGCTTTAGAATGTGAAAGTGATAAGCTTGAAAATGAGAAGTTTTAAACAAAAAGAATAAAAAATATAAAAGGAAAAAATTTCTTCTCTAAAAGTTGGAATTGTTTACTATTTTGCATTATTACTTTTTAGTCCATCAGGAAAGTATGTGAAAACTAAGTTATTAATCAATGCCGCATATTTCTCAAAGACGAAATTACCAAAATTTGTTTGCGACTAATTTTATCTGCACATACACATACACACACACACACACACACACACACACACACACACACATACATACACATACACACACACACACACATACATACATACATAATCTATCTAAAGTTATGCTTGATTATCACTATTCTTGTTATCACTATCACTATAATTATCACAAATATCATTGTCATATAAATTTACTAAAGCCTTTTGTTAACTTTCATCCTATTTGCATGAATAAAAGTTGCAATTTCGTTCAAATGTTGCATTTATCAAAACAAAATTAAACGCTTTTCGATGCATTTTCCATGCATAAACTTTCTGATATTTTCCTCTTTCTCTCTTATTTCTCTCATTTTAATTTAAATTCCAAAATTTGAACTCTTTCAAAGCATTTTTTAATGCTATTAAAAGCAGTGATTTGAATATGTTATGCTTCTTTCATTTTTTCCTTTTTCTCTTCCAAACTTTCTTTCCGCTTTTTCAAGAAGAGAGAAAAGATTCAGAATTTTCGTCTAAATTGGCCATTGCTATTAGGTGCCCAGTCATAAAGTCTCCAACCACGCCAATTTTCTAGTCCTTTCGGCAGGAAAGGCTTGGACGCCACTATAGCATTAGAAGCAGCAGCGACAACAGCGCCAGCACCTGTTGATAATTTTGATGGACATTCAGGTAAATTGCTAGCTTCTTGGCACGCTCTAATTGCTGTTGGCCGTAACGATGATTGACAATTGCGACCAGCTGGTTTACGTGTTCCACGCCATACGCAACGTAACAAACGCATCTGCGAAATAGACGAAACTATTGAAATTAAATAATATGTAGTATATACATTATAAGTTATTCACTCAGACTCTAGGATTTCAAGAAAACACTAAAATTTTTAATTTTCTTTTTTTTTTTTTCAAACTAACACAAATATAGGCCAATACCTGCACTCCACCATCGCCGCATGTTCGACTACATTGTCCCCAGACGGATGGTCTCCAATCAGCCGTACAGTTCACTGCAATTACCTTGCATTCGTCTTTTAAAAGTTAATTCATTTTTGCCAGCAAAAAAAAAGAAAAAAATGTGTAAAGTCAATTATATTTAAAGAATATTTTACTTCAGCCAAGATTGGTTTTCTTTCTATCAACTAGGCTTATTTATTTTGTTGATAATTTCAGATGAATGTCTCTAGGCTCAAATATTTCCTATTCTTGTCCCCAGCAAATGCTGAAAAGTACAAAAGTAACATTTGCTGATTGTCTTTTCTATCGAATGCATCCATTTCTGTAAGTTAAAATTCGGAAAATCACTAATTCATTTGTTGGAACAAAATTTATTGAAGAATAACAAAACTTAGGCTCAAAGAAGATGAACTAAAACCTTAAATGAGCCAGAAACTAGTGCATTTAGATTGGGGCAGAGGAGAGGACAAATGCTAAAGTTGACATGAGACATGAGCATTCATTGATTTTCATAAATTGAAAAAGTGGCAAAACCAAGCCAAAGAAAAAATGAAAAAAGATTGGGAAGGAATAGTTAAAGGCTCCATCTTTTCAAATATAATAACAAATCGTTCTCTTTATTGGCCAAGGACAAAAAAGGATCTTAGATATACATATATTTACTGCAAATAGCCTTGGCCCATTTGAAGTGAATGCTTGTTTAGCTTTTATAGTTGCAATGCTACGAACAATTGAATACCATTAAGCTAAGCTTCATTTAAATTTATAAAATCAAATGCTTTCATTTATTTTTAAAACTATTCCTACTGCCTTCTTAATTTTTCCATTCTTTTCTTTAGCACATGAATTTAACACTTTTCTAAATTGTGCACATTTAGATATTTCTTAAACTTTAAGTTTCTAAGCAGATGTCTTGAAAAAGAAAAGACGGAATAAATATTTATCAAATTTAATTGGTTTTTTCCTTTTTCCTAAACAAATAATGAAAATTTAATTAAAAAGAAAATGATTTTAAAAAGTTCAAAAATTTAATTTATGCTTTTTTTTTACTCATTAGACTATTCATTTTATTATTAAATTTTTGTCTTGTCAATATATGAAATATATTCCTGATTTATTTCAGGTCACTTTCTTTTCCTGAATTCTATTTTAGTCCTTTTACCATAATGAATAAATCTGTGATCGAAAAAGACAACAAAGGAATAAATTATGAAGTGTATTTCAGGATAGATGCAGAGATGCATCAATCAGATTTTCCAAAATTTAGGATCAGCAAAAACTTAGAAACGAAATATTGAAAGTATTTGAAATTAAATTCGAATAAATTCAAAAAAACTACTTATAATTGGAGAAAAATTTCCACAGATCAACAAAATGCTCAAAGATTTATGAACCTAATTAACTTTCTAATTAATTTTTCCTTAACTTATCGTACTGATAATTAATTTATCACTGATTTATTTCGAAAATGTTAATGAATTTTTTTTGTTATAATTAGACTAATTAGTAACACATTTTAAAGAAACTCTGAAATTGCTGTGATGCACTCATTCTTAACTCTAATCAAAAACGAAGTAAAATGATACCATTAATGCATTCCTTTTTCACTTTTGGTCTGCTTTCTCGATCACACAATTCAAATGGCGCATTTGTACCATTCTCATATGCGCACTTCACTTCACGTCTTTGCATGGATGTAGAATGTCGAATACAACGGGAAGATAAACACTAAAAATTAAAGAATTAATTAAATTAAAGCAAAAACAAATTGTTATTTATGAAATAATCACCAAAATATTTAAAGAATTTCTTTTCTTAAATTTCTAATGAAAAATAGAATTGTTTTTTTATCAATGTTTTATTCACTGATAATTAGTGCGAATAATTAAGAGTAACGTTAGGTTGAATTAATAGTTCATTCATTGGGAATGATACCTCAGACCACGGTGATGCCTGCCACCGCGGGCAATGCGCTGGAAGGCAACTTCTCGTGGAAGGTGGTCGTATCACTCCGAAACTTTCACACACGTCGTCATCCAGGTACCCAACCGAACCTTGGTAACTAATTCGACATTTTAATTGTCTTACCTAAAAATATTAATTAGAGCATCTTAATTAATTGCAAGTTGATAGAAAGAAACAGAAATATGATTTGATCCAATCAATTTACCTGTGCTCGTCCTGGTTTCCCACATTCATAATGGGAACATTTTGACCATTCACCGGTAGCATAATCAATCTAAAATTGATATATCAGCAAAGTTTGATTATCAACAAAATTATCAATATTGATTAGTTGAAATGTTTACCTTAATATTGCCTGGTTCAGTCACTTCAGCTAATTTCTCCAACATTCGAATGTCATCGTTGTCTTTTAATGATTGTCGCACTTTCTGAAATGCTTGCACTTTGAAATGACACAAATGATGCAAATCAAACTTTACAATACTTCGGAATTTAAATCGCAACTTTTACAAAAATTTTTTCCAAATTTAAAAACTGAAATCTCTTTTTTGAAAAAAAAAATAATTCCATATATTTTACATAAAATCTAAAATAATAAAAAATATGAAAAATTTTGCAGCAAAAAAATTGCCCAAAATAGTTTAAATTTGAAGAGAATATTAATGTTATCAATTTGAAAATACCTGTATTAATTGATGATCAACAGCAATCGGATCGTTCTCCAAATCATCATTCTCTATCATATTTTGATTTAACATTGAACGAGAATCATTTACATTTCCATCCTGAAAAAATTAACAGATTTAATTTTAGGTCATTTATTCAGTAATTTATTTTACAAATAAAATTTTTAGGGTAAAAATTGAATATGACGGGAAGAAAGTAATTACTTTATTTTCTCGTGACTTGAAACTTAACGTGACATTCCCCTGAATGCCATTAGCTATACACGCATATACGCCAGCATCTTCCATTCGGGCGTGGAAAATACGTAATGCACCATTTGATGATACTTTAATGTGCGCTAAATAAAATAAATCAAAGTAAAGTATTTCAACAAATTTATTCCTTTTCAATTCTCTAAGATTTCATTTTAATCATTCAATTTTTTGAAATTCTATAAATTCTACACTGTGAATTTGTTTACAATAAAAGTTACCATTGTTCGTAATCTTTTGCCCATCTTTTGTCCAAGTAATTTTATTCTTTGCATAATTACGAACTGGGCATTTCACCTGAAAGTATACTTTGATTATTACTTCTATTCTTCAGATATTTTAGAAATAATCAAAAAATATAAGCTACAATTTTGCCTATTTATTTTTGCTTATTTATTTATTTTTTTTTTGGAAAAAAATTCTTTCTGTAGAAAAAATAAATAATTCTTTTAAATGCTTGCATTTAAATTGCAGTGTTAATTGTTATTCGTATTTATTCTCGAAATAATTTCTAATTTGTCGCTTATTTTTCGTATACAGAAAGAATTTTTTTTTTCAAAATAAATAAATAAACAAAAAAATTGTAACTTATAGCTTATATTTTAGTTGCGTCGTAATTTAAGAAATAATTTGCGACATTTCAGCAATAATACATCCATTAAAGCTAATTAAGTAATATGTCAAATTCAGTAATACTTCCAACTGATAGCAACGATAATATGAAAATCTCTTTTGCAATGATTTGCAGTAATGAATAATTTAATTGAGAAATAATTATCGAGCAGAAATACCTTCAGCGATGTGCCAACGAACAGCTTTGCACTGCCACCTATATTTAGTGTCAACTTTCGGCTATGTCCGTGCTGTGATGTCAAAGTTGACATCGGAGATGAAATCTTATCCATTTCCGGAAACGTCGAATCAGCCAGGCTATTACACACACCTTCAAGTTTCACTAATAATCCTTCCTTCTTTTCATTTCATCTATTTTTGGTTATTAGATTATCTTCGACTTCTCATGCAGTACTTAAGGAATGAGCCATGCTAGGCTCATTTAACTATCCTATAGAGCCTTGTCTATTCTTGGCTTAGATTTGTTTATTTTTATTAGCTTGTTGCTATTTTGATTTGCATATAGATTGAATCATTTTCAAATTTGATTGCTCTCTCTCTCTCTCTCTCTCTCTCTCTCTCTCTCTCCTCCTTCTCTAATTTACCTAAGTCACAAAGTTGGACAGTTGGTGGCTTCTCGATATGACGGCATTGTATTGGAGGGTAAAAGTGTTTCAGTTGACCGTCAGCTACACGTTGTTCACAGGTCACTTCACGGCGTTGCTCACCAGGACCGCAAGTTGTTGAACATTGACCCCAATTACTAGTCTAAATTGAAATCTATCAAACAAATCTCTTAAAGCTAATTTTGAGAAATTTGGCTTTGAGTGAGCTAATTAATGCTTCCATCCTTTTCCGATAATTCGAGAAGACGCAACCTTCCATGCCGCAGGACAATCTACCAGGCCACACGCTTCGTTGCTGGTTGGCTTTGGCTGTGGACACTGGCCATCTGGTAGAATCAGTGTCGATTCCGCACCACCGGTCCGTGATATACGCCGTATGCAGCGCACCTGAATACTATGACATATTTGAGTGTCATCCACCTATCAGTTATAAGTAATGAAAAGTTATGGAATAGACCAAAGTGAAGTACTTTGCAATTCATCTCAGAATTTGGGTGTGCAATAATATAAAATTAGTGAATTTATTGAGGTGGACAGGTGAACAAACCTTTCGAGTGCGTAAACCACCTCCGCAAGTGTGTGAACATTGTGACATCTCACCAATCTAGAAAAAATTAAATCTTAAATCACAGAAATTTTAATTTTTTCAATAAAAATTCAAATTTTCCTATCTCTCACCAATCAGGTAAACAAAAGATTTACTTTGCTACGGTTTCTGTTCAGTCATTTACCAACTCATAGCAACTTTGAATTTCAATATTATTAATTAGATTAAATATATTCTTGCAAACATTTTTAAAGAGTTATCAAATATTTTGTAGAGAAAAAAGGAATTAAAATTTATGGAAAGAACTTATGAAAAATAAAACTAACATCCCATTCCGGTGGACAAGGGTCATTATTGCAAGAACGTATCAAATCAACAGGTCGCTGTTTGGCATCACAAAATGACCATGCGACAGTGGTGCGTCGCTTGACATCGACACATCTAAGAGTGGAACGTTGCTTACCTAAAATTAGAATTATTAAACTTTAGCTAAAGTCCAATAAATGATGTGTTACATTATGATCTATGTATTTGCTATCACTGATAGATTGATTATGTTTCTTATCAGTAGTAATGCCTGTATCACTGTCCACCAGTCTGGTCCTCTTTGCTCTTGTAAAATTTCAAAGTTGTATTATTAGTCTTACATGAACGTTCCAGTAAAGCCATAATTTCAGGTCAATTATTTCTTATCATTGATGATTACCATCTAATCTTACATGTCCAATATATTTTTAAAACTTAAAAGTGACTGAAATGAATAGGAAAGTAACCTCCAAGACAAGAAGCAGAGCAAACTGTCCAGTCACCGTAATCCCACTTGAATGGACGTGTAGGTGTCAACGATCGTTCACGTACAGGTAACTCATTATCTGCGTCATTTAATGCACACTGCTGCACTTGACACGGTTGAAATGCATTTGGTTTTGGCGTACCTTAAATTTCTCATCGTATGATGAAGTGACACTGTCCTGTCCTCACCTGCCGTGACACTGTCCTGTCCTCACCTGTCGTGACACTGTCCTCACCTGTCGACGTATTTCATTTACTGAAGGGAACGAATTAAATTCAGTTATTCTAACCTTCACATTCATAGTCTGGCAGTTTAATAATATTTGAGGTGATTCCTTGTAAAGCTATGCATTCAACCGTACGTGTAGCTACGCCGGGACCACACGTTGCTGAGCATGGACCCCACTGACCCGGAAAAAACCTGAAAATTTCATTCCAATTTCACTTTCGACGACTGCTTTATATATTCAATTATAATTGATTTCTCCTAAATCAGTTAATCAGACCTTATCTTAGTGAAATGAAAATTTTGAAATAAATGATAAAAGAAAATGGGAGAAAGAGGGAAGGCAGAAATGAAATAATAACGGTAGTGAATTTCAATTTTCCAAATAGCGAAACAATTTTAAATTCCATTTCTTACGTTTATAAACTTTCCTTAATAAGCAACTTATTGTTTTAGTTATTCTTATAAAAATATAATTGAAAGCAAAAAGATTTATTAAAAATTTTTGGAAAAATAAAAGTTTAATGTTAATGTCTCTTTTCATAAATTTTCATTTAATTATGATACCTTTTCCGAAACTAAACTTTGCTTTAAAAAAAGAAAAAAACAACAAAAATAGGACATTTAATTCTTTTCAGTTATTCAAAAAATAACTTATTTATTGCTAATAAATTTAAATATTCAATTCATATTTTAAATTACACTTCTTCTTTTAATTTATTATTTATTTGTCAAAAAAGTTCAAATAATTTGCACTTTTTGTGTAATGCACAGCGTTATTAAAGTGAAAGAAAAAAAGGACTGTATTAAGGAAAGCAGCGAGTTACCGTGGTTGTGTACCAATGGCACCATTACTACCGCCGGCACCAACATCAGTACCTGAACCCATGCTGCCACTGCCACCCATCAGATTGTCAAATGTCGAAGCGGCGAAACTATCGTGCTGAATGCGCTGTTCGTCATTCCAGGCCTTAGCAAATGGTGCTTGGGCCACGTAGCTGAAAGTTAGATCATTTGATGAACCAATTTTAAAATTTTACTCTAATATTTTTCTAAAAAAGTCCAATTTTAAAGTTTTAGTTTTAGCTTAATAAATTTAAATCAAAAAAAATAAACAAAATACAATGATGTGAGAGTCAACATGAATTGAAGAGATTTAATTTAATAAAAATGAAGGAAATTATGAGTCTAATATAGATGAAACATTCACTTAATAATAATAATTTGTTAACAAAATAAAATTTCCGTTGTTGTACAGAAATTATTTATTAATTATCAGTAATCATTCTGAATTTTTAATTATTTTTAAGAAGAAATTAATTTGTAAGAGTTTTTTTTGTAGAAATCACAGAAATCATAAAAAATTATGGTAATTCTAATGTTTAAATTAAGTTTAGATTTATGAATTAAAATTGTTGAAAATGTTTTGGATTGTTCTTATGATCGCATAATAAGTAAAGTAAGTTAGAAAATATTTAAAAAATTAAAATCCTATAACAAAATGATGTATGACTGTTTTTTATAAAATTGCATATTTTTTTTTTGCGCAGAATTTAATTAAAAATTAAAATTTGCCAAAACTGATAAAACATTAAGTAATTCTTTTGGAATTCTATTTAAAAAATAAAATTTTAGAATTTCTTTCAGGTCAAAATTTCAGGTCAGGAAAGAAAGATTTAGCGAAATTTATCAAAGCAATAAGAGCAAATGATTGAAAAGTTTAAATAAATTTTTCAATTTGCTATTCTATTGTTTGTACAAATAAAGAGCAAAATTATTTATTTTATTTGTTTGTATCACAGCAAAATATTTACTCGGTCTAATGGGTATTACCGGGATAATACAACGGGGAGAATATTAAGTAATATTAATCAGTCATATAAATCATATTGTTGAACTGATAAGATTGGACGATTTACCTATCCAGTTTTACCTGACTGATAAGATAAGAGAATTTACCTATTCAGTCTACCTGACTGATAAGATAGAAAAACTTGCCTATTCAGTTTTACCTGACTGATAAGATAGAAGAATTTACCTATTCAGTTTTACCTGACTGATAAGATAGGAGAACTTACCTATTTAGTTTTACCTGACTGATAAGATAGAAGAATTTACCTATTCAGTTTCACCTGACTGATAGGATAGGAGAATTTACCTATTCAGTTTTACCTGACTGATAAGATAGGAGAATTTACCTATTCAGTTTTACCTAACTGATAAGATAGGAAAACTTGCCTATTCAGCTTTACCTGACTGATAAGATAGAAGAATTTACCTATTCAGTTTTACCTGACTGATAAGATAGGAGAACTTACCTATCTAGTTTTACCTGACTGATAAGATGAGAGGATTTACGCTTATTCAATTTTACCTGAAGGGCAGATAATTACTTTGAAATAATAAGTTATATTGAAGAAACTAATGTAGAAGTAATCATTGACCGATTTCCTAGATCGCAAAGATAATTGCGATAAAAACATACTGTTAGTATTATCAGTTAGTGTTATCAGTGTAATTATTGGTTTTTACTGATAAACGAAATAGAAGAAATTGTACTATTCAACAGCTATTATTATGATTTTTGATTAAAAAACAAACAAATATTGCCTTTTAGTGATTGAGTAAATTAAAAAATTAAATGCAAATTTCTAAGCAATCATTTTGAATGGCACAAATGTCACATATTTGTCATTCGAGAATACAAAGAAAATATTCTTAATTCCTTTTTTCCGGAAGTTTCGCATAATTTCGTTTTTATTCTAAATTTAAATGAATAATAGTTTTTCTCTTTCCGTTAATCGTTAATTATGTGGAAACAAAAGTTTTCCCTCATAGTAAATAGTATTTATTAGAATTAGTAAAATTATCTGAGATAAAACGGAAGGCTTCTTCCTTCCTTCTTATCCTTATAATACATTTCCGGAATGAAATTAATTGCTTTTATTGTTGATCACTTAATTGTTCGCCATTTCTTATTGTTGTAGGAAATTTCTAAAATCTTTTCAATAAGGAAACGAAAGAAGCCCACTTCAATAGATGATGGCCGTTAACATTCAAAGTAATTGCTCCTTTGGTGATTGTAGAAAATTTACATTTTCAATAATACCTCTCTTTTCCACTCTTTCTCTTTCTCTCTCTCCCTCTCTCTCCCCTTTCTCCCTTCAAGTTTCAAATTATACTCTGCATTATGCATTTTACTTTACATTTTCTTTCATTTGACAATAAAGCTATCACTTTGCTTTATCAGAAACATTTCAACTGATAAGGATGTGATAGTTATGCCATATTCACTGTTATCTTTTAATCAAATTAAGTTTGATGGAGAAACTTCCAAAGATAATTTGTTTTTTATTGATTTTGCTGTGTATTTGTAATCATTCTGAGTAATTAGTCAGTTATTTGCTATTGTCTCAATGCCATCAGATTTTCAGGGCTTTTCCTCCCGAAATTCCGGGAATTTTCTTGATAAACTGTCTCAGAGTTTGCGGCCATATGATATCGGTTTTGAATTTTAGATAAGACAAGCATCATTTTCTCGTAACACTTCAATTTAACACTGCAAATATAATTATTTTAAAATCTTACAAAAATTATATCTAATTAGTAAAGGAAGAAAAATTCGCAGGAAAATTCAAACTATTTGAATTACTTGAAAAATCTGACAAAAAATTTGTTACTAATGCATTCTATCTAATGTATTGATAAGGTAGATGTATGAAATTTTGAAAGAGAAAATTTTCAAGAAATGGTAGAATGGCTGATGTTTAAATTTCATATTAAATTTATTGCATTAAAGATATAAGTGATTTAAATGATTAATTTATAGAAAAATACATAAATAACTTTTATGTATTTAAAATTTCTCTCTTTCTTAACTATTAAAATTTAATTAAAATTCCATACGATAAAAATAAAATTTATAGAAAAAAAATCCGAAAAATATAACAAAGTTTTAAAGAAGAACAAATCACAATATCGAATTTTGCATTGAATTTGTTTTTTTTTTTTTTTTTTTTTTGGATCGCTTTTTTTGCATAAATATTTGATAAAATTTATTTTATGAAACAGTTTGAATGAAATGACGAATTTGCGGAATATAATTCAATTCCGTTTATTAATTCAGTGATAATAAATGTGATTAACTGTTAAGAACAGTGATCATTGATCAGTGATCAATGATCAGTGATCAATGACATAGGTCAAATACGTGACATTGCATCTCCCTTTATTCTTGCATTGTTGAACTAATAAAGCTTACACAGTTTATTATATTTAATTAAATTATGATTTCCTTTTAACTTTATTAATTCGAATTTAGTTTATACGTCTGACGGTGTGCATATTATGCATTACCGTATGATCTACGTGTGACACGTGTATAATATGTTGACGTATATTATGCATTACCATATGATCTACGTGTTACACGTGCAGTACTTAATAACATAGCAATCTCACAGATAAGTATAATACTTCAAACGTTCATTCAATTATGTAAAGGTAACGATGAAATTATATATAATTAGCATAAAGGTTAAATTTCTTTTCTAAACGATTTCTTATTTTATATTTTTGATTAATTAAAAGTAAGAAAGAAAGGAAAAAAGAGGTAAACTAACAAATTATCATCCGCACGGACATATTCCGCAAGCATCCATATGCCAAGTAGACGTGACACCATTATCATCATTTTATCATTGTAACATTCAAATTGTCCGAAATCCGTGAGCATTTCAGGATAAGTAAGGCTTTTAGCACACTTTAAGGATGGCTGTTTAAGACTTGGCTAGACATTTCGTATGTAACAATGGGCCAAACAAATATGAAAGCATTGCGGGAAACAACATTTAACTCTCTAAAGTTAGCCTAAGGCGTGGCTTTTCCTACTTTACTAGTACAGTGGTAGTAATTAGCAATATGATAAAAGGATATTAGCATGAAGGATGGAAATACTACCAGCACTAGCACCAGGACCACCAGCACCAGGACCCCTACCAAGCATTCTTCCCCGCCTCTTCTGGGCAGTAATGGCGGAAAGTGGCGGCGCTTCTTGTCTTCTTCTATCGAATTTCAACCCGTCACATTCCTCTTCATTCCATGCCGAGCCAAACCACTATTTACAATTGCCCATATTGCATGGTGGAATGATGTTTTGATGGAAGAGAATTCGGGAAATTGCAAATCCGAATGATTGATGCCATTAATCTCGGGTAGTCAGACCTACCCGAAATTAATGCCTGGATTATGATAGCATACAATGAATAGTTAAAGTAGCATTATAGTAAGAGTATCATAAAGCATAAAGTATGTTATAAACGGTAATTTATTATTGCTCACTGCGATTTGTCAGTCGAATGAATGGATGGAAAATGAATTGAAATTTTTGAAGAATGCAAATAAAACTAAAATATTACTAAAAGATTTATGAAGGTAGAAAGGAACGTACTCTTTAAATAATAGCATAAACAATTTCAATAGAAAAAAAAATGGGAATATATTTCATTTCAAATTTTGTGTTTTATTCAAAAATATTAATTACTACTTTGTTTATTTCCTTTTATTTGCTATACTATAAGAAATAACATTTTACATCAGTTTCAAAAATAAAACTGAATTTTGCTATAAAGTTCATTATTAAAAGGAATTTAAATCTAAAATAAATTTGTTTACTTTACTAAAAAGTGCAATGACGAATTGTTAATTAAAAACAAAACAAATCAAAAATGTTTAATTTGATTGCACATCAAATTAAATAAATAACTTAAAAAAAATTTCATTGTTTATTCAATTGAATTAAAATTTTTTGCAGAAAGAAATTAAAATTCCTCAAACAGAAAATATTATATTCATCCATAAAATTGATTATTTCAGTCGTTGCATATAGCAAATATTTATACTTAAAGAATAATTTAACACTTGTCACTTGTCATCATGAAATTTCACTTACAGTGGTATTTCTTTCAGATATTCAGCATACTAAGCAATATCAAATTTTGAATGCTTTTTTTTTTTTTTTAATTAAGTTACTTAATTAATGGGAATTGTAATGAGAGATTTTTATTTAAAACAATCCGTTTTATTCTAATCGCCGAGATTTTCAGCTTGATCCGGTGGAGTTAACCGGTAGAGAATATGAGTAGAAGTAAAACTGTGATTCAGTTTGTTAATTTGTAGTAAAATTCCATCTTTAGATAATCAAAAAGTATGTGATTTTTCCAAAATTTAATACTTTGTCTCACTTATCCGTTTTTTTGTTTTTTTGTCAACAAAACTGAAAAGCGCAGCATTTCAAGCTCAAAGCAAAAATTTATATTTCTAAATTAAGAAAAAAAAAGAAACTAATTGCTGAATTTTCCTAAATGCGCATCTGATCAACAAAATGTAAATTCATTTTTAAATTAAAAATTGAGCTGTAGAAATTTTCTTGAAAGATACTTGTAAAAACATGCATGGCTCACATATGTCAAATTTTCAGATATTTGAAAAGTAAAACAATTCGTCAAAAATCGAAAACAACGACAATTCCAAGCAACTTGACTGCTATAAGTAAATCTCCCGGGGGAAATGAAGTGTCGGAGGGAAGAGAATTCGAAAATTTCATAAAATATATATAACATAAAAAATCGATAAAGCAAATATTAGGAATTTAATGTTAGGTAATTATTTTATAAATGAAGGTAAGAAATGTGGTAGTAATAATCGAATAAATTTGAAAGATTTTTTTTCTAATTTTCCTTTTGCTACGAACACTTATCAAATTTGAAATATTGAAGTAAAAACTAACAATCTGCTACTTTAGGCATTTAAATTATCTCTGAAATTGTAGAAGAAACATTTTTTTAATTTTAATATTTTATTTTTGTTTTTTTATCTCTGAAAAATGTTTCTCACTTTTTTCTCATTTTTGTTGTTAATTGTTGAATTAATTTTTTTTTTAGAAAAAAAGTGATAAACAATTGTGAAATGAAACATCTGAATGACGTGGTAATACGTAAAATGTGCGTCAATATTAGCTAAAATAGAATCTTATGATTTTCTTCTTCACACTTCAAATTTAACAAATCATTTAAGTACTTACAAAATTTTCATTTCTTATTTTAGGAAATTTTAATTTTTTACTATTTTTTTTTTGCAATGATTTTCTCAAAAAGAAAAAAAATTTTTATTGCAGAAAATTTTAATATTTTTGAGAGAAGAAAGACATAAATTACAGCAAATCGATAGAAAAGCTTAACTATCAGAGAATTAAAAAAAGGATTAAAGCAAAGTAACGAAAGTATTTACTCTGTGATAGCTCTGACTACCTTATAAAACTTTGAAATCTATTGGAAATTTAAGTGGTACATCGCTTTCTGTATATATTACTCCCTTGAGTGCTTATTTCTTAAAATTTTAATATTTAATCTTACAATTTTGAAATATAATCATTAATTAATCTAAAACTTTTTTTCTTTTTTTGATTAATGTTCAAAACGAATTCTGTAAAACACTGATTTATCATTTGTCTGAAATAAGCGCCTGCAAGTACCACCAAATTTCGCATTTAATAATAAAAAAGCAAATTAAGAAATTAATTCGATGATATTAAACGATTTGATAAATATTTTGTTGGAAAATTTAATGGAAAAAAAGTAGCGATAGATTTAAATATGGCATTCATTGAAATAATTTAAAAAATGATTAGAAAAGTAGATGGATGATATCAGGACTAGGCCTTAAATCCAGGATGGATGTTACGAGTAAAGGAAGTTAGGCCTTAATCACAGTTATAAAAGATTCTCTGCGGATTGATGCTAATAAGACGAAAAGTCTTAATAATTTTAAAATATAAAAGCAGCAGACACTTTAGTGAGATTTATCATACATTGAATGAACAGTAAATTTATTAAAGACGAAATTTCTTCCATTTATAAATTTTTTTTTTTTAAATTTTTATCAATGATTGAAAAATAAGAAAACTTAAAAAGTTAAAGAATGTATCAAATACTTACCGAAAACGATTGAATGAAATGTCGGAAGGTCCAACAATTGCTGAAATTGAAATTTTATCATTATTGAACTGCTGGATGACTAACAATTAAAGGACTAACAATAGCAAAAAGAACCACAAATATTGATTTGGCGCTGATGTCGCATAGATCAATTACTATTAACCAACAAAAATTATTCCTAATAAATTATTGTACTTCTGCTAATGCCAGAAGAAAATTACTACCAATTTCTAATAATTCAGAAATCAATGGTAGAGTGTTAATTTAATTCAAATATTTTATGTAAAAGGAAGAGGTAAGAATTTTACAGTTTTATCTTCAAAGTTCAAAGTTCATTGTAAATTGCTGGTGTGAGAGTTTTACTAAAATAAACTTTTGAAAACTAATTATTCCCTTATGTAGTTTACTTTAATATTTCTATTTCTTTCTTTTTTCGAATAAATGATTGAAAAATATTGAAAAAATGTTTTGAAATGATTTATTTTTATTGAAATACTTTCAATCAACGAATGAAAGCATTCACAACTTTTTATTTTAACTTATCGAAACAGTTATTTCGCTTTTTACAAACAAAAATTTTATTTAGTTTAGGGAAAAGAAAAACTTAGCAATTTAATACTTTTATTATCACTGTTAGATTACAATGATTATGATTGCTATTATGATTACTGCTATTATCGTTATTATCATTACTGAAGAAACTTTCCATTTTACAGCATCTCATAAAAATTATTTGAACAGAATTATTTGTAAATAAAAAGCTAAAAAATTTAAATATAATTTGCAGACATAATCGATCTTTTTTTTTTTAAATTTAAGTAACAAATATTTGATCAATTTATAGCTTTGTTTAAAGTTATCAGTTATCTCTTATCAGTATTTAATGCAGTATTTCTGTACGGAGAGAATACCAGCAATATCGATGCTTAAGGTTCATCGAGAACTCTCAGAATTATTTTTATTATAGCATCCGTTCTGGTTTTTACAATTAGATTCCTAAAAAAGAGATCGGTTAAAAGCATAAGTTGCAATCTTCCGGCTCTCTCAAGAAATTTAGAAAAGAAAAATTTTAAATATAATTCTAAAATTAGAAAATTTTTTTCCTTTTGTCTCTTTCATACTTTTCTAACATTTTTTAAAATTTATTTCAATTAGTATTTTAAAATTTTGACAAAATCTCCAATTTTTGAATTTAGCTAAATTTTTGCCAGAAAACGATATACTAATACATATATTTCCCATAAATCCTACATGCATGTATGCATGCATGCATGCCTGCACGCGAAAAGCATTAGCAAGCATTCTTGGAACAATTTTCCGAAGTAAATTTGAAGAAAGCGGAATAAGCATAAAAGAACTTTTAATTTCCAAATAATCCTTTTTTTTTCTCTTTCAAAGGAATTTTTTTTTTCTTTTTTCTCAAATGAATTATTCGTGTCAGTTTGCTTTGTTCAAATTTATTCATTCAAAAGAAGAAAATTTCATTCATTCAAAAAATCGAACTCTTTCTTTTTGCTAATAATTTTATGGCCATTACTAGCAGTCAGTCATTCATTCCTTCTTCCTTCCTTAACCCAACAATTCCTGAACGACCTTATCACTTCCAAGTACTGATATCATATCACAAGAAGATGATGATTAATACATTGAATTGTTGTAAACTATTTTAAGATTTTAATTTTATTTTTTAATTGTTCAATAGTTTAGTTAAAGAAAGCACATAAAAATGTTTAGTTTCTCGTCAAATAATTCAAATAATCTTTCATCTTTTACTAATCGAAAAAAAAAAAGAAAAGAAAATTATTTCTATTCAATTGCTATAATCGTCGTAGCATAATTTCTAATTTTTTATTCAAAAAAGAAATATAAGAAACGTTAAATTTTAATATTTATTTCAAAACAAAAATGAATAGCGACGAAATAACAAATTTATGCAAATTTCAGCTTTTTCTTAAAACTTATCTAAGCATTCTTTGATAAATGATTATCTCACTTTGTTCGTTTAAATATGTCAAAGAATGCGAATAAATTTTTGAAATTGTCTGGCAATGAGCAATTTTTTCTTTTAAAAATTATACTATTTTGTGAATTGTCATTTAATTTAATTAAATTTAATTTTACAACCATTATGAATGTGTCATTAGCATATTTAAACGAGCATTAATAAAGTTTTTTAAGCCTTATCTTAGATTTTAGTACGTTGTAATAATCTATGTGAAAGTATTTAGCAGTAATAAATGTAAAATTGCACAGAGTGAAGGAATTCTTGAAGGATAATCAGATCGGAAGATTTTATTTTTAATAAAAATAGTAATAATAAAAAAAATAAAAACGATCAATAGGTCATGGCAAAGGTCAAAAAGAAATAATATTTTTCGAAACAATCGATTTATAGAAAAACAAACAAATACTTCTTGTGATACTCTAGTAATATCTATGTTCGTGAAAAAAGGCGGTTTTTTGTATTGAATTTTATTTATTTATTTTTTATAATCTTTGCACTAAGCAGCTAGGTAAATTAACATCATCTAGGTAAATTAACATCATCTAGGTAAATTAACATCATCTAGGTAAATTAACATCATCTAGGTAAATTAACATCATCTAGGTAAATTAACATCATCTAGGTAAATTAACATCATCTAGGTAAATTAACATCATCTAGGTAAATTAACATCATCTAGGTAAATTAACATCATCTAGGTAAATTAACATCATCTAGGTAAATTAACATCATCTAGGTAAATTAACATCAAAAATTTATCAAATTTTCAGCAATTTTTGCTATTTGTTTTTTTAAAATGTATTTGATTTGAAATTGTTAATATTATTATAATTGCAGATATTTGCAAAATTATCGATATTCATATTGCTAACAAAATCATTTGCATATTGAGATATGAAAGATATATTTTTGATTTAGCATAATTAATTAGTTAATAATTAATTAATTAAGGATTCTAAACAGATTTTAAATTTATTACTCATATCTAATGTGCCTTTGCTTAAAACTTTTGCAAAAGAGTTAACTGATATTATCACATGAACAATTCATATTGTTACTATTATTACTGTTATTGTAGTTATTATTGTGTTGTCATTATTATTGTCATTAATATCATTGTGTTCCTTTTCTAATAATAACTTTGCTTATTGAAAATTTTATTTGTTACAAATAGGCGATGTGAAAATGGCACACAAAAATTTGAATCTCAAAAAATATGAAAGCTAATTAGAAGTATTAAGTAATTAACAATCTAATTAAATGTGTGACATAGCTTACATTAGCATCTTAAAAAGCTGAATTAGACATTAAATTAGCTTAATGGTTAATTTTTTTAAGTAAATATTTTAACCCTAAATAAATAGTTGCATTAATACCAGCAGCTATTGAGATTCTTCTTGAATCATTTGAAATTCATTAAATTTCAAAAAAGACTAACAATCGTAGAATTCACTTGGACAGGTGATACCAGTATAGCACGGTTGACTGTCATCCGGTCGATCAGTATCCTTGCATGCGTAATCATCAATCCGTTCACCTTCTTGTTGACACTCAACCTGACACGATCGGAGTTGTAAGCTGATTTTTTGCATTTTTTGTTTTTTGTTCTTGGGTAAATTATTGATTGATTGATTAATTAATTAATTACTGAATTTGTCTTCAATTTCAACTCTCTAAAGGTAAGTTTATTTTATTCCATTTGTTCCATCTTCAAATTATGCATCCATAAATGATAAATATTATCTTTTAATTTGATTACTCAAAAATGTTCACCTGTCTTGTCCGGTAACCTTTACCACACGTAACGGAACACGAACTCCAATCTCCCTTTTCCCATTTCGGACAACTTTTCCGATTGCATTTCCTGCTTATTGCCTGAAAGAAAAAAAACAAAAGAATTCTAAAACAAGAAACTGAACATTCCAAATAGTTTAAACTTTTTCTTGTACCAAACGAATTTCGATAGGAATTACAACTTATGTTTAATTAAGAAATTCCGTTTAGTTATTTTAATCTAAAGTTCACTTTTCAATACGTTATTATGGTCTGAGAAAGGACAGAAAGCGTGGCCACAACGTGTTAAAGCGTAAAATTAAGTTGTCACTGTTATTGTGACAAATCATATTGTTAGACATCGTTGTCGTATTTGTCACATTATGGAATTGATCGGAAATTTTGTTTATCATAAAGAAAACAGTTGCAAAAGATTCAAATATTAATAATTCATTTGAAAATTTGAATTATTTTCCTATAACTATCAATTTAAATTAAGATATATTTAAATTTAAATTAATTATAGATGGTGGATGATTGCTTCTTTTACATCCTTCCAACTTTTCTGTATCATACCGGTCGATGGGTTTGCCAGCAGTACTGATCATCTACTTTCCGGTTTTCCACAACGATTCCGCTTGTATCGTTGGAACTTTCAACGCAGTACACCTTTCTAGTCTGATGTCCGCCATCACAGGATGCTGTACATTCGGACCATTTTCCGGTCATCCATCTAAGACAGAAAATCTTCCGAATAATTTTACTCTTAAACACATTTTCAAAACAAAAGCAAAAAAAGATTACAAAACAAACAAATGAAAAGTAATATGTACGATAGCATGAATCAATGCTTCAATTACTCATAATTTAACATTAAATTTTCAAAATGCAATTTTTTGCTGCGAATTCATTCACTCAATTAGTACATATTACTTAATGAAGCAATTTTGCATTTGCTGCATGTTAGTGCATAACTTACTGCATTACAGGTTAATAGCAAAGGATGCAATGCTTAAATATAAATTATTCATTGATTTTTTGCATTCTTCGATATTTTAGAAAATTCAATGTTAATTATTACAAAGGTAATAAGAGACAAAAGTGTATGAAATTAATTTGAATTTTTGTCTCTCAGTAGAATTTAACCTAATTTGAAATTTCTCTTACAATTCGATTCATTTGAAACAAATTTTATGAATTTCTTAATTAAATCAAAATATCAAATTTGGCATTAACACAAAATTAAATTTAGTAACATTCTTCTTTCATTATTTAATTCATTTTATTGGTTTAAATCCTTTCTATATTATCAGTTGATCATATCATAAAGCAAATATTCCTTCATTAACTAAACGAATACTTTCTTTTCTCTTAGATTATTATTACTTTCTCCAAAAATATTTCATTTCAAAAAGTAAAATTTGAAGTGAATGCAAAAAAAGTGAAACGTTTTTCTCACATTTTTTCCTTTTTCACAGTTTTTTTGCACAACAAAAAGTGCGTTTCTCATTTGTGTCTTTCGCTTTTCGTTTCTTTTTTGTAACAAAATTATTCAAAAAAACCTTTTCCTTCATGCAAAAACAGACGAATATAATTTTAAATTGTTTTATTGTAAGTATTATTAATTCTGTATAATCTCATTATTACATAAAGTAAAAATTTACGTGGAATATTACGTGAGAATGATGTATTACGTAAGAATAATGTATTACGTAAACCTTTGACATTAAATATTTTAATTTGGATTTAAAAATTTTTCCGTAAAGAAAGAATGTGAGATAAATTAAAAAGTAAAAGCAATAAAATCATGCTATTAGCATAACTATTACTGAGCACATGCAAATTCACAAAAAACGAAAGAATTTGCCGACAATAATAATACAAAAGCATCCTTCAGGTTTAATTAATTAAAGGTTAATTAGTGAAGAAAAAAATTTAGAAAAGAGAAAATAACGAAGAAATTTTAGTAAAGGAAATTTTGCAGTCAGATTATGTATAAAAAACTATTCAAAGAATTAAAATTAAAATACTTCTTTTTATCTTTTCATCGCCTTTTGTTATTGAAAAGAGGTAAAAGTTAATTTCTTGAAATGAAAGTTATTTTACTTAAACTTTAGGTAAATCACCGCATTGCCAGCATACCGGCACACACTTTAATCTGGAAAATTGTTATACCCTCTTTTTTTTTTCTCTCTCTCTCTCTCCGACATACAAATTCATGCAGAAAATTTGATTGCAATAACCTGCAGCTGAAAATATCATTTATTAACCATAATAATATTGTGACAAATATTCCTGTACGACACTTGCGCCGCTGCAAAAAGCTTCCGGTTTGTTCGCCACATAAAAATGTATCTACTTGCTGTTTTTCACAATTTATCAATAAAAGATTATAAACATGTCTTTACACTACTGTTGTTAATTTAACCATAATTGCAAATTTCCCTATGGCGCAATTGTCGCACAGTGATAGAAATAAATTGCTACACACTTCGCAAAAGCAAAAAGGAAATTGGTCTGCGTGTTTCAAGGAATCTGTATATATATATGTGTGTGTGTGTGTGTGCAGGTGAGGTGTACCTCGAGAGTAGGTGCAGACAGGTATCAAATTGATACTTAATGATTTATTATCAGTGTTAACTTACTGATATGATACGGTAATCGATGGTCTGAAGAGCGCAGCAGTAGTAATGACAGTTGTAGTTAATAATAATAACATCAAAGAGAGAGTTTTTCTTTTTCTTTTTCCCTCCTTCTCTCTCTCCTTCTCGCCGTACTTTCAATAATTTACAGATTGTAATTTAATTTTTATGGTTAAAGAAATGAAAAAGAAGTCAAAAATCAGTAATTAGTTCAATATTTCTGGAAGAATATATGAAATGAATTTTTCGGAATGATTTAATGTTTTCCGGAATATATCATTGTCAGACAGACAAATTGTTGAATGGAATCATTTAATATTGACAAAGTTAAATTTTAATTTCGAAAAGGCAAAGTTTTATTTTTATGAATTATAAAGAAAGGACATAGTACTGTGAGGATGACGAATGAATGATGAGCAGATGACGGGACGGTCACTCCTGCCTTTCTACTACCTGGCAGAAGATGGGGAGTGGACAGTGGACAAAGACGTAGTGGTCATTCCTCTAATATTTCACAATTTTTTAATCTCAGTGAATTAACAAAATGATAATTCTGCCACTTCTCTGAATCATTGAAGTAGAGCCTAAAATTTTCGAAAGTACATCAATTCAAAATTATCACTTCTACTACTATCATACTATTATCACTGATGCAATCATCCAATTGATAAGTGAGCTTAGTTGAAGGGAAACTTTTTGAAATAATTGAATTTGCTTTAGTTTCTATGAAAGATGAAATGACAAAGAATGAAATGAATGCAAATCTCTCTTAGCTATAAATTTTATTTTCTAAAAAATTTGACAAATGATATTGTGAGGTATTATTGGATAAAAGATAAGGGAGTAAGTACATTGATTTGAATTGAAGAGAGAGTAGCATTTTTCTGCAGCATACAATTAAATTTTTTCTTTCTTTTTTTAAAGTTGTAGTGTTACCATGAAAAAATATGATGGAAGAAGGGAAAGAAAAGAAATGAAAAATTGAATTTTTCATAATTAAATTTATTTCGCTGTAGAATTTAGATAATTAGACAAAATAGAAATTCAATGTTTGCAGATGAAATAGTAAATAGGAAAAAAGTACACAGACAAATTTGCTGAATGTTGTCATTTTGAAAAGTTCGAAAGAATAAATTTTATTTTTAGCTTCAAAGGAATTAGTTAATTGTATAAATGAAAGTTTAGAGTAATTAATTAAAAAGTTAAAAGCTTTTTTTTTTCTTTCTTTCTTCATTTTTGTGAAGAAAAAGAAAATATTTTCAATATTTTGTTGTATCAGTAATGTGATAAAAGGAATAAATAGGCTAATTGCGCTCTCTTTTAGTGTACCTTTCGCTTCTTAGTAAAAATTTAATTAATTAATTAATTAATTAATTAATAAGATTTGGACTTTTATGCGTTCGTTCATTTGCTGTGTGTTAATTGAATTTCATTTTAGAGAAACCATTAGGTAAGTTCATTTAATCAGCTTTTGTCATTTCATTTGATGATCAAAGGTTAGTACTGATAAATGTTAGTACCTGAAGCAAACATTATTTACACTTCAAAATAATGTAATGCAATTTAAAATGGGAATTTTTTTTTTTTTTACTTGTGTCAGCAAGTAAACATAGGATATTTAATTGAGAAACGATGGGAAATTCAATTAAGTTAGAGTTTACAATTTATAGCTGCAAATAGTAGAAGGTAATTTTAAAAAGTCTAAATTTTTGCAAAACCATTTTGGAAGTGCATTAATGGCATTTATAATGCGAATAATAAAATTTTACATTTTGCTAATGAAGAAGTGAAGGATTTCGTTAGAAGTAAACTTTTCCTGAAATTTATTCAAACGTAAATTTTGAATGCACCATTGGATAGCATTTTGAAAGTGAATTATTTCATGCAAAAGAGTGAATGAAGAAAATAAATTTGCTAAATGACCGTAAAAATTGAATAATAATTGAAAGAAATTTGTTTTAACTTTTTGGAATTTTACTTAAAAACTCGAAATGAATTTGAGAAACCGCAAGAGACAGTCTTCGTTTCCTGAAGAAAAAGAGGCAAATCATTTTTTTTTTAATATTATTCTCTTTGTTTCTAAATGCTAATTTGATCATTTTTGCAGATCATTTTGTATTTATCACTATTAACAGTAAAATTATTTTATTGCATTAATTCTACTTTAATCACAAACTAAGAGGCAAAAAGATTAATTTATATTTTGAATTATTTTGAGGAAACTTCATCAAAACTTTATTTATGGTTGATCGTCGACCGTTTTCTCTTATAAAAATATCGTTTTTTCCGCTTTTTCGAATTGAATTTATGAAATTTGTTCCTAAATCCGACTATGCATTTGTTACATTTTGCAAAAGGTTTTTTTCAGAAGTTTATCGTATTGCATACTTCTTTCTCTCACGTTAATTATCAGGTAATATTCCGGTGAAGTTCATTTCCCACATCGGAAATACAGATTTTGCTATAAATGGCCTTCTCATTCATTTCTTTTAAAAATTAATAGAACCGGAATGTTGTCCAGTAAATGAACCATGTGCTAATAGGGTGAGAAAAATGAATCCTTTTGGGCTGCAAAAATTTCTTCACAAAAGAAAGACGTGAAGTTTTGACGTGAAAAGATAAACTGATATAACTCTGTCCACTCATTTGTCATTTTGCTTATTTGTTAGGTCAAAAGAGAAGAAGAAAGCAGCAAGTAATATAGGAAGGAGAATGACCAACCAAGAAATGTCAACCTCATTTGCATAATTGTAAAGTCAAGGTCACTCATTAATAGGTCTATAAGAACCATTCAAAGTTGTAAAATAAATTGAAACATTTATGAAATTTCCGGTTTTCAGAATTTCTCTAATGTGATGCAATGGCCAAAATTGTTTACATTTATATAATTAATATCTTTGTTTCATTGTTGAATGCTTATTAATTGATTTTTTTTTCTGCAAATAATTCCAATCTGATTTATCGATTGATTGGCAGATCACTGCGTAAGTATCTTCTAAGATAAGCAAATTAATGATTGTTGTTTCAGATTTCCATAACTTTATTTTTATTTTTATTTTTTGCTTTTTAAAAAACTGATGAAAGAGAGAGAAGGAAGTAGAGAAAAAAGAAAAAGCGATAAATTGGTAAATATTGTGTTTTTAAAGAATAAATAAAAAATTGAAAGAAGAAATGAGTAAGCAGTTAATATAAGTTAAAAGAAATTTAAATTTTAAAATCTGTAAATCTTATAGAAATCCCATAATTGACCAAATAACTAAAAGCGTACTGTGATGGACAAACGATATGTGGACATTTCTCGACGACTGGACGTGGTCGAGGCTGGTCAGCACAAAGTCGTTCCGGCACCACTCGTTCATTCCGCACATTTTGGCATACTGATACTGACACTCGATAAGCTGAAGTAAGGAACTCTCCGTGTCCACAAAGTGCTCATCAGTTTGTCACATACATAATAGGACTTGAAATAAAACTTAAGGTATTACTTTATTAATTATAAGTAAGAAGTAACTTAAGGTATTACTTTATTAATTATAAGTAAGAAGTAAAGATTAGTTCTATTTCGTCAAATCTTTTGGAGAGTTTCCATGCGTCTTAACACTATAACAAATAGATTTCAGTTAAATGAACTTACCATTCGGTCCGCAAGTTGTGTCGCAAGGTGAGAAGTGTTTCGTGTCTTTCCACTGAAATATTGTACTCCGGCAACTTTCACCCGTGCCGCCACATATTCCGCAAAGGTCGTAGCGAGCGTTCGACTGCACAATGCCGTCGCAACCGACATGCTCAAACGGAATGAGTGATTAGCTGATAGGATCAAATGAATGATTAGCTGATAGGATCAAATGAGTGATTAGCTGATAGGATCAAATGAGTGATTAGCTGATAGGATCAAGTGAGTAATTAGCTGATAGGATCAAGTGAGTAATTAGCTGATAGGATCAAGTGAGTGATTAGCTGATAGGATCAAATGAGTGATTAGCTGATAGGATCAAATGAGTGATTAGTTGATAGGATCAAGTGAGTGATTAGCTGATAGGATCAAATGAGTGATTAGCTGATAGGATCAAATGAGTGATTAGCTGATAGGATCAAGTGAGTAATTAGCTGATAGGATCAAGTGAGTAATTAGCTGATAGGATCAAGTGAGTGATTAGCTGATAGGATCAAATGAGTGATTAGCTGATAGGATCAAATGAGTGATTAGTTGATAGGATCAAGTGAGTGATTAGCTGATAGGATCAAATGAGTGATTAGCTGATAGGATCAAGTGAGTGATTAGCTGATAGGATCAAATGAGTGATTAGTTGATAGGATCAAGTCAGTGATTAGCTGATAGGATCAAGTGAGTGATTAACTGATAAGATCAAGTGAGTGATTAGCTGATAGAATCAAGTGAGTGATTAACTGATAAGATCAAGTGAGTGATTAGCTAGTGATATCAATCAGACCACTCAAGTTTTTTATGAGTTGGTAAGATAAACTGCGACCTGACAAATGCCATTCACACAAATAGATTTATTGTATCCTTCGATGTGACACGCACTGCCATCAGCCATTTTTCCTAATTTCTTCTCTTCACCGGTTTTCAGGGAACGACACACCAAGACACACTTCAATAATAAGCAAATTTGAACTTCAAAAAGACAAGCAAATTTCAATATTAAAATTGTGAGATAACAACATTATCCATACTACCATTTCTGTTTTTTATAAAATTGAAATATTTATTCAAAGAATTCTTTTTTTTGGTAATTATAATCTGATAATTTTGCTACCATTACTACTTTTTAAATAAAACACAACCAAAGATATGGAATTAATAAGAATGCTGAATTGAAGAACGCTATTTACTTGGTAGCTACTCTCGACTGGTACCCATTTCTGTGACAACAATTTAGAATTGTTAGCATTGACATTTAACTCTGAGCAACGTTCCTCCTTAGATTGAATTGAGGAAGTGTTGTTACATTGCTGAAATATTTTTTGGTAGAATTTCGCAAATAACTTTTGATTTTATACTAATTTAACTTTATTGTTTTAGTGAAATTAAATTATCAGTTAAGACATTAAATTAATTTAGTCATATGAATAGGTGAAATTTTGATCAAAAAATGCTGATCAGTGACAATTTCTTTTTTTTGACATCTTTCTAACAGTGATTATTTCTACTTCAAAAGGTAAAATTTAAAGAAAGAAAATCATTATTTGTTTGTATGATTTTTTTTTTCTTTTTTACAAATAAAAATTGAAAGAACAAAAAAGAAATAATGGAATTAACAAACTTGCATGTTACAAACACGTTCACGGCGGTTTGGTCCTACACATCGTACGTCCAAACAGCGCCTCAACTGACTTGATATTCCATCACCGCACTGAAAGAATTTCGATGTTTTTTAAAAAATCAGAAAAATTTGACTTTACTTATTTATTTAATACTAACTAAAACAATTTTGTTCATTCTATAATAGATTTTCTTTTAAATGAATGAAATTTTGTTTCGATGAATAAAAAAAATAAATAAATTACTGTTTAATTACAGAGATAATTAACTAAATAATTCAATAAGTTTGAGAAAAGAGTTGAACGAACCAAATTAGAACAAGGGCCCCATTCAGACCACTTGGCCCAGCCTTGATGAATTATTCTTTCCAAGTTTGAATTCTCACTGATACAAGAATTTCGCTGCAAAATTTTACCTTATTAGTTTATATGAAATTTCAATTTTTTCCACATGAAAAGAAAGATTTTCATTATTATAACTCTTTCTTTAAAATTGATAATTGAATTATTAAAATAATATAAAGTAATAAATTAAATTATTTTAAATGAAATAATTGCAATTTGTGTTAGTCTGAAAGTGTGGTTTACATTTTATTAATTTTTCAAATTGTTATCGTAAAATTACAAGCAATTTCCATAAATTTTTACTTTTATGAAACATATTGAATAAATTTGATTATGTAATGAAAACAAAAAATAAAAAAATAGAATTTATAATAAAATTTCTTAAATTTGAATTTATATGATAAATTCATTTACTTTCTTAATTTGCTTTCTTTTTTCAGTGCAAATTTTTTGCGCAAAATGTAAATAAAAAGAAACGGAAATTGAAAAAGAAATATAAAAAAATTTTCCAAATAATATTTTTCTTTTTGTTTTCTTTGTATATAATTTATATTTAAGTATTACTGAGAAAAAGGATTCATTCATTTAATATTAATATCCCTCTGAAAATGAAAAAACATTGAAAAGTTTTTTATTTATTTCCTTTGTTTTAAATTCAATAATAAAAGAAAAAGAAGCATTTTGCATTGGAATGGAAAGGCAATTTTCTTTCTCAAATTTTGTTTATTTGACAAACTTCCAATTTTTTAATTTTTTTTTAAAAAAAAAAAAACATCAAAATGATTGATGAAAAAAAATAAAAAATGAAATAAGCATACACGCAAATATATACAAATCCAATATTTTTTGCACTACCAAACTGCCTATAACAATCAATTTTATTTTTTCTCTGTCTATTTCTCTTCCTCTCTTTCCCTCTCTCTCTCTCCCTCTCTATCTCTTTTAGAAAGAAAGAAAAGCATAATAAAAAAAAATGCTATCAAAATTTCGCAGAAAAAAGCAAAACTATCAAAAGATTTTAATTAAACTAAGTAAATAATTCCCCTAATTTTCTCTTTTGCAATAAATTTATCAGTGATAAGCATTTGCTGATAATAGATAATCTATAAGTGATAGTATTGTATTTAAAAAGATTCTAATTCAGACTGATTAAAAATTAATTGTGGAATAGAATATACGTTTATGCTTCTTTAAAAGCATTGTAAAATAAATTTTAATTAATTATTAAGCATTTTAATTAATTACTAAGCATTTGTTTCGATGATGAAAAATATTATAATTGCAATAAAGGAATGAATAAATTGAAAGAAATTAATGATAGTAAAGTCATTGTTTATATTTTAAATATTTTCATATATATTATGTATCTGATAAGTAATATTTCACTGCGCTGTGTCTCTTCCATTACTTCTGAAATTTATTTCTAATAATTTTAATATTATCTCGCTGAATTATCAATATTTCTTGTATCTTTCATCCCATAATCACAACAAATTTTACATAATTAAAACAAATTGTTTCAATAAACATAATTCAACTTTACCTATATCAATAAACATAATTCAACTTTACCTGTATCAATAAACATAATTCAACTTTACCTATATCAATAAACATAATTCAACTTTACCTGTATCAATAAACATAATTCAATAAACATAATTCAACTTTACCTATATCAATAAACATAATTCAACTTTACCTGTATCAATAGACATAATTCAACTTTACCTATATCAATAAACATAATTCAACTTTACCTATATCAATAAACATAATTCAACTTTACCTGTATCAATAAATGTAATAAGAGGAACAGAATTTTGATCAACTGATATTGCACCAGCATATTGGATATGATAATTATCACTGATCAACGTTGTTCACATATTCTAATTGTTCATCATTTTGCACTAACAATAAGACAAGTCGAAATGGCAGCAATGATTGCACGCTGAATTTTAGTTAAATATAATTTAGCGAAATGGTAGAAAAATGAAAATTAAATCTGAAAAATAGTTTAATTATGATAAAAATCAATTGCAACAGTGTAATTTTTTAAGCATTTTTGAATAAATTATTTGCTACACTGATCTAACAGTAAGGAATGATATTATCACTGATAGACTGATAATTATGATAAGTCATTGATAAGCTATTCCTTTCTCGTTGACTGTTTCAATGAACTTTTAATGATTGCTTCCAAATAATTCGGAATTTAATAAATGCTGCAAAATTTTTAGGCTTTTAGCTTGAAGAAACAGAAATGAATCGATTGAAAGGTTTCAAAAAATTAGCATAGTTTAATGATTATTTTTGCTAAAATCTATTTTTGAACTTTTTAATTAAATAAATATTTCATTAAAATAATAAAATTGCTTATTTAGGCAATGATGAAAATTTGCAGATAATAATATAATATTGCTTGAAATAATTAAATAAGAAAAGTGATTGGATTTAAAATTAAATTTGAGAAGGGAATGTATGGACGGATTTTTATGAAATTATTACTGATAATGTTACTTATCATGAAATTATTACTGATAATGTTACTTATCATGAAATTATTACTGATAATGTTACTTATCATGAAATTATTACTGATAATGTTACTTATCATGAAATTATTACTGATAATGTTACTTATCATGAAATTATTACTGATAATGTTACTTATCATGAAATTATTACTGATAATGTTACTTATCATGAAATTATTACTGATAATGTTACTTATCATGAAATTGTTACTTATCATTTATTGCTGATAAGCACATGGCAGAAAGTTAATTGCAAACTTTGCCGTAGCTGCAAAAAAAAGTTAAAAGTTTTTATTACAAAATATGAACAATTTGAATTATGATAATAATATCAATGATAACACTATCTAATCATGATAACACTTATAGCAAAGAGGAAACTCATTTTAAAATTATATTAGCATTTACTCTCAGTAAAAGTCGAATTTCTCATGGAATTATCAATTTTGAGAAAGAAACAGAAAGCATAGAGCGATGATTTCACAGAATGCATAAAATAAGATTGTATTTTTGTAAGAATTTTTGCTTCCTTAGGTAAAATAGTTTAAAAGTGTGAAAATGATAAATTAGCAAGGAAAAAGGAAAGGAAAATTGAACTTCTCGGTGATTTCTTACTGGGAACTACAGAGAGATTTGTTATTGAGAACTACCGAGGGATTCTTTATTGAGAACTACCGAGGGATTTTTCATTCAGAACTACCGAGGGATTTCTTTGAAAATAGTAAAATAGTTTTTCTCATTTTCATTAACATATTGTCCAATAGAAATTTCTAAAAGCAATTAAAGATACTTTATCATTTGAAATTTAACCGCCTTTATAATCATTTTTAATCACGATTACTATCAATAATTGTGCTATTAGTTAGATTATTGCAACTGATAAGGATGATCAAATAATCAATTGAAAGGTGAAAGGTCATTTATTACTCCAATGGAAAAGATTTGGGTTTTTGATGGAAGTATGAGAGCGAAATGAATCATAACTAATTTATAATATTTCTAACACCCTGCATTTATTACTTAAACTTTTAAATTAGTGTGAAAGACTTTTTGCCGTCATACTTTTTTCGACACATAAATCATTGATTGCACTGTTAAGAATGAAATGAGTAAAACGATGTCACATAAATATAACTCAAATTCACACTATGCACAATTTATATTTGAAGTGCAATTTAATGCATTTCATTGAAATAAGTCCATTAAAATGATCAAAATTTCCTTCGTTTTCCAAATTATGGATTATGACAATGTGACGAGAAGAGACGATGCATTCTTCATTGCTCACTTAGCACAATGGCGCAAATGTCAAATTCCCCCCCCTCCCAGTATTTTTATAACAAACATTCATTATGTATTTTACCAATAAAAAAAAAAAAGAAAATTGAGCAGAAAACAGTTTCGTATTATCATTTGCTCATTTAAATATTCAATTGTTAAGAATGTTACCATTATATGAGATTTGTTGATGAAATTATCAAATGAATTATCAATTGAATTATTGATTATATCCGCTAAAATGGTATAAAATGAGAGCGTAACGTGTAAATCAAATCATAGAATACGTGAGCTGAACGGAATTTACTTGAGAAAATTGTTCATTTACGTATTTACGTGAATTTATTTATCTACGTGGAATGTTTTATTTACCAGATTCTATTGAATACAAAATGCGCCGTAATGCAATTGTATATTCCGATGGCTTCAAAACAAGAAGTGCAACGGAAATTTCATCAATTTGCGCAATTTTTTAAATTCTATTATAAAATCTTGTGGCTAGCAGTGTTTGAGAAAAGATTTTAGGAGTAAAACTTCTCCCAAACTACCAATAAGACAATTTTGCGACAATGAAATTTAATTTATAATTTATGCTAAAGGAAAGACGATGGTTAGAGGATCCGTTATAAGTAGTATAGGTACTTTCAGAATAAAATTTTTTATCAGAGCAAATCGTTTATTGATGGATAAAATAACGCCAAGCAATTTCTTTTCTAAAATAAAAATGGGATAGCAAAAATTAAATACAAAAAGATCAATTAGCATTTACAAAATGAAATTATCCGAAGGCTTTTGCTCTGGCAATTAAATTCATTTCATATTAAATGAATTAAAATTCTTTCATTAAAGAATTTTTTGAATTAACTTTACAAAAAAAAAAAAAAAAAAAGATATATATTTCGTTTCAAGAACCATTTCTTGTTGTTCAGAATAAATTAAACTAAAATAGTTACTTCAACTATTCTGCAAAAAAAATTTTTTTTTTTTTTTAAAAACTTTTTGTTTGAGAATTAAAGAGCTCTTTAAATGGTTGAAGAAAATTTTTGCTACAAAAGAAGCAGAAATATGATAGAAAAATTTGTCGTAGATGAAAACTGATTAAAATTAATATTGAAATTGTAATCTTTGTTCTATATTGAAACGAACTACGACAATTTCAATTGAATTGAAAGAGTAGAAGAGATGACAAAGGTAGTAAAATAATGAAATGAGGGAAATCATATGAAAAGAGTTGGACATTTCAAGTTGACCAATGAATGCCTTTAGAAATAAGCATAAAAGATTGCATAGCAGTCATCGTGGCTCTATGAAATACATTGAGTAATGCTCTTTCGACTAGGCTTATTTATTTATTTATTTATTTATTTATGCTCATTCAAGCTTTCACAGCTTTCATTAAAGATTGATCAAACAGAAAATCTCTCTAAGTTAAATATATATACCAAAATTAAAATTTCTACAAAGCAATTTTTTTTTTAATTTAAATTATGAAACGATT